CCAGCACTGTACACATCATCCTTCTGCTTTATTTTCCCTCACGACATTATTCTTGTGTTGCTCTAAGTGCAGCTAATCAGGGATGGCTGCACAGGCAGGTTGGAAGGATAAYGTGCTCAGGGCACACAACCCTCAGCCCTCATATCCCATCCGGATCCCCAAAACTGCATCCTGGGTGCAGACAGGCAGATACAACTTTTAAGGCTTCTGCAGCACAATCAGCTAAAATGAGGATCTTTTCCTTAATCAGGCAAGTGAATAAATGCAAAAGATGGGAGCTGCCTGGTCCAGAAAGCATGATTGCTTACGAAAAGACTGAAGTATTGCAGAAATTATTGTATTTTCTATGTTGTAACCTCTGCAGAATGCCTTTAGTAAGCAAACCAAGCTCTGTAATAGTTGTTAAAAGGGACCCATTAACAGCCTGCAGCTCCAGGACGCATGGGTGTTATCTACAAAGAGCTAATGTGTATTAATAGAGACTGTTTCATACATTATAAATATTGACAATTTCCATGCACAGTAGCCATAAGAACTCTATCACAGAGTAGTATTTTGAGCTGATGMCAATCGCCTGAATTGTGAAAGTCAGGCAAAGTTCAAAAAAGACTGAATCTCTCCTCTTCAGCATTGCGTTCCCTAGGGCCTGCTTGTGTCCAGCTAAATGAAACCTAAGGGAACCTGCTTGCTGATAGATCCAAATTACCCACTTTCCATAGTGAGCTTACTCAGTGAATGGGTTCCCTRCATTTCCAGAGGTCTCCTTGGTACGTATCACTCCTGTTGTTTTGAGTTACATTGATCTGTTTTAACAAATGGTCACTCCTGCATCCTTATCTTACATTTCTTTCTCACATGTCCTCTGTCTCATTACAGTTCTGTTATCTGAGACATCATCAGCTTTCAGTTAATGGTGATTATACATAATCTCATGTGTACACCTTGAGCTGTGAGCCACTGAAAGGCTAAAGCCTCTGTTGCTCCCATCTCTTGAGGACTGCTGAAAGAAACATTTCCTGGGCAAGCTACAACCCAATTACATGATATTGTCTTGCAGGGCTAACCCTATTCCTTCTCTATTGATTTTGTCACTGCCTGAAGAGATTTTTGTAACCATTTGCATTTTTAAATACATCAGTGAACMCATGTGTCTGTCCAGGAGAACCATAAGTGTGCATTGTTTATAACATTCATTCTTTCTAGAGTGTGAAAATGATGTAGAAAGCCTGTCCTTTCACATCATATGCCTTCAAACCACATCTATTTCTTCTCCTTGCTCTTCAAAGTCATTACATGGAATATCTGATTGTGTAGTTGTTGCAAAACACCATGGTCTTCTCTTTTTAATATCTGCGTCAGATATTTTCCTGCTGCCTGGGAGACACATACTGGAATTCCCTCAGCTTCACTACTCTTCAAAACTAATTATCACGTTCTCTAAAGGCCCCAGGTGATAATCACAGTTACTTGGGTTTTTTTAATCTTCATTTCTCTTTTTTTTTTTTTGCCTAAACTCTTTGCCTAAAATGCTACTGCTGCTGTCCTCCAAGAGGGAACCACAAGATTAGCCCTTTTACTTTCAGATGAAGCAAGGCAGTGACATTCCTACATTAAATGTGTGCCTTTGAAGGTGACRTTATTACCTACATGTGCAGTCCATATCAGGAAAATAATGGTTTAACTTACAGAAAACACTGACAGTTCTCATACTTCAAGTGGCAGGAAAGTCACTTGCAATTACCACGTCACTAAAAAAACTGTCCTCCTCAAAATCCTTTGTGTCCTTTCCTCTTTATCCTTATGCAAAAATAGATACCTGTTGGCTCTTCTCTTTGATAATTTCCCCTTTCCAGCTCTATTACAACTGATAACCTGTTGTCCCCACATTTCCACTGATGCAAAAGGAAACAGCAAGCTCAACCTCCAGAGAATGATTAAAAGTTGGTCCAAAAATCAGATGATATACAAATTTGTAGGCCACCCAACAGTTTTTTGAAATGCAGATCATGACTGCTTATGTTAAATTTATCTAGGGGCCTGGCTGAGACGCAGACGTTCTATGCTTGACAGTTGCTGGAAATACCTCCCTGCAAATTAGGTTCAAGGTAGACACCTTGTAASAGAGATGCTCAAAATCATGATTACTGCTTCTGCTGTGCATATCAAGACAAGTGAGCAAGCCAAATAAGCCTGCTCTGCACCAAAGGGACTGACAGTGGGGAATACCAATTAGAACTTCACCAGGAATACCAGAGGTCTCCAGTGTGAAGAACACACATCCCCCCAGACACTTTATAAAGACTACTATGTTATTTCTGATCTTACCTTTATCCTTTGTAGGCAGGGACATATCATTCCCTGAATGTCCAGGAAGGCAGGGGGCTGGAAGATGAATTTCATGTGGAATTAACGCAATTTTGGAACCTAAGAGAAGCTGTTGGCCAGTTCTCTCATTCAGCTCTGCATTTTTCATGTTGGCCTGCTTGGACCAAAGAATCCTCACACATACCTTCTTTTCTCCCCAAGCACCTCCCCACCTTTTTTTTTTTGTTTGTTTTGTTATGAAAGAGTCCTAGATATTCTGATGCAGTTTCTTTGCAATTTCTGTGAAAAATCCAGCACAACACATGGGGCTGCATGGGGCTTCATCTTCTGGACRAACTTTGCTTCGTGGCAAGAGAAGACTTTCTTGACTATTTATATTAACAGGCAGAAGAAGGAATTCCCACGTACCAAAATAATATGAAACTCTAGTGATCCACAGCTATTTTACCTAGCAATCTTTCTGATTCACATGCTACAGGCAAAACTACCTACTTAACAGTCAGACTCTTTAGAGGCTCATGCTCCCTTTATGCCTTGTCTCAAACAGTATATAGAAAGTGTTTCTACTTATATTCCCCCTAAGAGAAATTTCTGTCCATTTTCTGTGATATCGAGAGCTGTAATATTCAGCCCCTTTTGGAGAAAAAGGAAATAACAGTTATTACGGGATATTACTGCCCAACAAAATAGGAAGAAAGTGTGAGACAGGGCTGGAGCCAAGTAAAGAAGAAAAAAGTTTCTGGTCAACCTACCAATTCTATTGCCATCTTCAACATCTCCTGCCAGAGGAGCCAATACAGCTGTGTGGCATATTGAAGGAGATCCTAACATCAAAGGCCCTGCCATGATCACCAAACTGACCAACTCTAACAAAAACAAGAAAGTTATCAAGAAAGCCTACAACAAGTAAGAGTCCGCAGTGCAGCAAAATAAACTTAAAAATGAGAGAGGTTTCTGTGATATATGCTGTATCTTTATGCCACRTTGTAAAGATAGGGACAGCAACAGCCTCTTGCTCCCATTGCTCTCCAGGCAGGCTAACTGGTGTTAACTACAGTTATRTACTTACTGTTGACTTGGCAGTCCATTTCAAACCAGTCCAGCATCATATGTGGTGCTCTACCACATAACCTTCTGGAAATTGTATCTCTGTGATTGGAGTCTTTTTTTTTTTTTCCCCCTCACAACTATCTAAGAGCAGGGAACAGGGTTGTGGAAATCAAATGGAAGAGGTAAGACATAAGAACTGCGTTACAGAGTCAGCAGACCCTCTCCCTCAGTGACAGTGCGGCCCGCTTCATTAGTGGCCTAATTAACACAGTCTAGTTGCTTACAGATTCACCACCATCCYAAAATATTGTCACTGGAAAAGCCTCACTCTTGCTGAATGGGCTCAAACACAGAACTTTGCCCCTGGGGAAGGGTATTCACAGTTTCATGCTGCATCCCCAACTCTATCCCATGCTCATACGGTTGCTCCTCAGCTCTCAGAGCAGCCAAAAGGAATCAAGACCGAGCTTTCCCTCTTCTCCCTTTCTCCTCTTCCTAGCATTGGCTTTCATAAAATCCTTTCAGAGAGTGTTACTGAAATCATTACCCTTCCACTAAAACTGACTGATACTGCTAAATGAGTTAGAGGTATCACAACATTGTCAGAAGACAACAGAAAGGCATAGACAACAATCTCAAGACCTGATCTCTTAGCAAACAAGGCTAAGGAGGGTTGCAACCAAAGAACTTCAAGAGGTATTCCCTCCAGACATCATCATAAAAGTTTCATTTTATTTTTCTTAAACAGTAATAATTTCTCAGGCTATGAGGTCTATAGCAGGATGTTACACTGATATTTGCATGACGTTCTCCAGGTTAGCTAAAGTGGACAACTAACTACTCCATYGTTTCCACAGACTGAATGGGATAGTAATTGAGTATCCCCAATTAGTAACTAGATCAGAGAGTAACAAAGAATTACCCTCAGGTTGGGGCAGATTGAAAGACACTCCATTTATCATTTAAGAACCCATTTGTACCTATTTTAACTCCTAAGTCATAAATTCTCAATCCCCTCTTCAGTTCTAGCAACTTGGTTGACAGATTGAGCCTAAATGTACTGTATAGGTTACAAGACCTATTAAATAATACCCTATAGATTCCTAAATGCTCATTGCTTGACAACTACAATATTTCACTGTAAAAATGTGATCAAATATTTTGTACTAAATGGTAAAYCCCAAACTCCTTCTGATTTGCAAAGTAATTTTGTACCCCTTGACCAAGATTTCTCAGCATCTCTGCAAAACCCTTCCATGGACATGCTGTGAAGTTTAGTGTTTGTAAAGAATAAATATTTCTATGGCTCTAGAGAGCCAATTAACTTCTGTAGAAGACTTCTGATAATTTGGTGTTTGCATTGTATGTGAGGTAAGAAAAGGCATTTTGGTAGTTCTAATAGATATGCATAGCATAAGCAGCTAACCACCCAACTTTAGCCAAYAGTCCCAAAGAAAATGAAAGCAATCTATTAATCATTTTATTTATCAAACTAATTTTAAAAAAGGTAGAAAATTCCAGCCAGTTATATGTGCAATAATTGACCTCAAAAGAGGGTCAAAGCAATGGACTAACCAACAATTTCTTATTTACAATTCACCAAAACACCTTGYAAGGACACAAAAGCTCTAAAAAAGTCTGAAGATTTCACCTTCTCCCTGCCCACCAGTATTCCAGAAATCTCTTCAAAGTCTGTATGAACTAAGTAAAGGTGGAACAGAAGAGAGGAAAGAGCAGGTGTATGGGCAAGAGCAATCACCATTTCTCACACAGGAGCYGTTTCGTAGAAAATACAGATATCCCAAACCAAAGCATCTTACTTTTTGTGTTTCCTATGGTCTCAACACCATTTTGCACAGGATGTTTATGTATTTTCAGTAACAGAAGAATAGTATTTTAAGGAATGAATCAGCCCATAACAAGCAAGCATTTATGAAGATCTTCTAAACGTCTCCTTAGATCTGTAAACCACCTAGCAGCATCTCCTTCTGAGCAGCATTTGACTATTTTGGTTGGCTTTGTATGGACAGTCCATTCAGGTTACTGACATTTAACTACTATCAGTAGTTACCACAGGTTTCAGGTGCAACTTCTACAGATTCTTCTGCTCATGTTATTTGCAATGTACAAAAGGGAGTACCAGAAATACCAATCAGCACAGTTACTACAAGTAAGTCTGTGAGTAAAAGAAAAACTCAGGACAAAGAACATGACAGTCCATAATAGAAAGGGGTAGAAGCTTTGAGGACATGTGCTGTGGTTGACCTGATGGAAAAAAAAAATCTCTAGCACAAATGATCATTGGCATTTGGGGACAATGTGGGAGAAGAGGGAAGGACGAAAATATATATAAGTATATGCACACATATACATATAAAAATGCACTTTGCTATGTACGTTAAATCATTTTAGATTTCAAGTCATTATTTTGTGACCTCTGTGGCCTAGAAACCTTTTTGTTCCCTAACTAAACCTTTTTCTGCCATTTTATAGSAGGAAAAACATGAAAGTACAGTCTTCTTCCTTCCTTACCTATAGTGTTATGGAGTTACCTCCACTAAAGGTTCTACATTACCTTGTAACCTCCCCATGACATTTCTGTCTTCCTTCCCAGGCAACACAACAAGGATACCAGGTGCCAGTGCAGGCTCTCATTTAATTTAGTGCTGTTTAGCTGGCGGGAATACCGAGGATAAGCTAGATTCAGAGCTAAAGAAAAAAGAGATGCCTTAAAGATATCATCCCTCCAGAAATACTTCAGATTATTTCAATCGTCTGTTCTAGTTTTGAAAAAACAGATGACATTTACACCAATTGGAAATGTCTCTGGAACTTCTGTTCTCACTTGAAAAAATAAAGATGGATACACTGCTTCTCCTTGGCATCTTGTTTTGTGCCCCATGACACAGGGAGATCTCTCCCAAACCTTCACCAGTAGAATCACTTGCAGTGCTCAGTCACATCATGTCCAGCTGCAAATAGAAGCAACGAATTCATAAGAAAGGCACTGAATTCAGGTACTTTGTGTATTTAGCACTTAGAAACCAAAGTAGATTCAGAAATGCTCATGATGAAATATGAATGGTCTGTACTTAATTAATCTGCTAGAAAGTTCAAAATCAAAACTAAGCCTTGGAGACATTAAAAACAGCTAAGTACTTATTAAAAAAGTTTATGCTGAAATCATTGAATTCCAGCAAATACGCATAGAGAAGGTTTAGAAATCTAAGTTTCCTACACAAACAGTTGTTTTAGCTACAAACTTTGTTAAATATTATTATATAAGTTATAACAATCTGCTATGAAATGAGCAGCTTTATTRGATAATTGGAAAGATGCTAGAAAACAGGATTAATCCATGTAAAAATAAGTTACCACAGAACCTATTTTTTAGCCCCATTCAATTAGATACTTTGGTACATTTTATAATAGCAGCTTAGTAATTTTGTGCATCTCCCCTCTAACTTAAGATTCTTGGTGTTTTCTAAGCCAGGGCCTGTAACCTACTGCTTTAAGCTCCTCTCCCTCTCAAGGCACCTTCCAGTTAAAATTTAAAACTAAAACCACATTATGTCRTTATGGCACTCACCAAATCATCAACGTCACCACCTTCATCTGTAGCAGGTGGAGTTTCCTTTTGCTTTTCTTTTGGGGCCAGGAACTAAAAACAAAACTGTACTTAAAATCTCAGACTTTTAATGTTAGAAACATGCAATTACTTTTAATATCAAAACTAACCTGTAGATGCTTAAAAGGGAATTAAAATGGCTGAGGTTAGAAGAAACCTCTGGATACCATCTAGTCTAAACCCCACTGCATATGATCTTTTCTGTGTTCTCAACAATGTAGTTTTAAAAGATATCATGTGTGACTAAAAAAATGATAAAGGACAACAAAAAAGCAAAAAATAAAAAACAGAAAACCTTCCTTAGTGCTAATGAGACATATGCAAGTCAACCAACCTCTTCTCTGGCAAAGATCTGAAGCACTACATCCTGTTTCTGTGTGGAATTCAGTAAGTGTCTCATTTAGCTCAATTAACATTTAACAAATGAACAAAGACATGGATTTGAAAAAAAAGCTCTAACATGCAAGCTGGTTAGAATGGAAGTCTTTAAAAATAGAACAGTCATTATGTACAGTTCTAGTGCACTAGCTGCTGATACAACTCACCATATGCCCTTCACAGTGTATGGGATCATAAACAGAAGGTAAAGCTAACCAGTTTTAGATACTGAAKTAACAGAAATACACAAACAATACCCTGGAGTACAGTTACTTCTGAATTATTTTTGTCTTATCTTAAGATAATGCACAAAATAGYAATTCATCAATAATGGTAGAATAAAACAAACATCTGAATCAGTGTGTTCTCATTAATAATAATTATAAACTTTATTTTTCTCTGCCCTAGATAAAAAGATGTCAGTGAAATGGGAGGAGAAAGTTATGCCATATTATGTGGCTTTTAAAGATGTATTATTCCTAATTCGGAAACAATTTGGACATAGCTCTGGATGGTGAAAAGAACACCTGATTAGGAAAAAAAAATCACTAAATCTATAAATACCTGTTTAAAGCTTCGGTAACATTTTTGTGCAAACACACCAGGCTTATAGAACTACTGTATACCTGAGGACTTGAATTACTACAGGCATGAAGTCATTGCGAAGATAATCTAGATAGATAAGATCCTGCTATCAACAACACTAAGCCTCCACGCATCCTTCCGTGGGGGACAGGTAAACAATGGTAATAACCATTGATAGAAAYTGCAGAGAGAAAGTAGGGATTAGTAGCCAGAGATCCCTGCAAGAGCATTATCCATCTCTCAAACAATATACTTGGACTAAAAAGCTTAAATATTCTTCTTGTTTTTGTAGCTGCAAAAAAAAAAAAATGAGAAGGTGGCAAAGATGCAAGGAATTAGAATTTCAAGATGCCATATGTTTGTGTATCTTTTTCCTGGAAAAGATCTCAATCTAGTACTAATATGAAGCACATATTATACAACTAAAAGCTAATGACATTGTCAGCTCTGAATGTCTTCTGTGCCAGAGCAAGTTTCAATTTACACAGTTAATTAAGAGTAAAATGGTATTTCTGAAAGCAGCATATTTTTTCCAAARTCTTAAAAAATTAGCTCTCACACTAAATTAGCTAAAGATAAAGAATTTTAGGAAGATTTATTTACAATAAATTGAAAGTTAAAGTTTCTATCAAGTGATAGAATTTGGAATTGCCTTCCTTAAAAATAAAAATCTGTCTTATGTTTATGCAGAAGCAAATTACATATCATAGTTATGCTGACGAGAACACTCTTGACAATTATACTTCTAACCTATCATCTTTAAACTCCATAAGTAGCACCTCTGCTATTACAGGGTAAAAAAATGGATATGATTCCCCCCCCCCCCCCCCCCCAATGATAAGTAGTGTGCATGGGTTAACTTTGTTCAATTAAAAATAGACCTTTGCATGTTACCTCTCTAATATACAACCTTGGAAGTGTTCCATGCTTCCTCAGAGATCAACCCTATAAACTTGAAAACCTGTATGACAATTCTATGCTACAATGTCTTTATGGTTAGTAGAGATTTCCTTACGGAAGAGATGCTATTTCACACAGGGTGGGCACATTTTGAACACCAAAGGTAGTTTCCATCTAGAAAATTAAGTTCTCAAGAAAGATTAACTTCTGAAGTTACAAAATATATTCAGCCTCTTTGGAATATACAGCAAAATGATGATGCTTTTTGAAACGGCTACTAGGAAAAAAATTACTTTATATAAGTTCACATGATGAGAAACTTCCTTCGTGCCTACAAAAAAAATCCAGTCTGCTCCTTCAGTTGTACTTCATACGTGTCTTTAGCTATCCAACTTTAGAAAGTGTTCCGCAGACTTATCCATATAAAAAGTGTTCCACAGCAAGGGCTTCACACAAAGAAATGCTCGTTACAATATATACACACAAACACACACCTTTTCAGCTTCTTCTCTAGTCACCAAACTTCCCTCTGCTTCATCTTTAGTGATCAAAGAAATTCTGTCTAAGAGGAAAAAAAGAAAACAAAATCATTACAAGGCTTCCCAGAAATCCACTAGTGATAGAAAAGAAAAAAATCTTCCAAATTCCTACTTCTAAATGTGTCATCATCACTGGAAAAAAAAACTGCTCAAAGGAAAACATGACCTGCATAAATGAATCAACTATCATGATACAAAAATAAATTAATGAGAATATTCATAAGCTTGCGGAAGTATCCATTTAGGAAACTGCTAACATTATGACAATCAAACTAATGAGACACTGAGATCATAGATCACAGATGAAATACGGAAAAATCTATCAGGAATTACACTTTCAGTGACTGTTGTCATGCTCTTCAGCATTAATAGCCTTAGAAAAGTCACACCAGACATGCTGGCACTCTGGTTCCCTACAGCTTGACCTCCAGAAGCAGTGGTCTTGCTCACCTGCCCTACCAGTGCCTCCATCCTGTGCAGTGACCATGGAGGACAGGGACAGGGCACCTCAAGTGCTTTTAACCCTAAATTTGTTCCCAGCTTACCTCCTGCCTTACTGCAAAAGACACTTGTGCCTGCACAAGGAAGCTGTGACCATGAAAGGAAAGAACTTTAGGGCCAGAAAGCTTTCAGTAGCAGGACAAGTTTACGCCAGCTTAACGTACCCATGTAACCACATGAGAGGGTTTCATGAAACTCAAACAACTTATGAAACAGATCTGCTTTGCTCCTACTCCAAAACACACTTTTAACTGTTTCACTCTCATTTCTTATCTCCTGCGGGCTTGGTGACTGAAGTGGCTCAGGCAGGTCTGGTGCACATGACCCCTGGCAGAGGAGAAGGGATGGGAAGGGATGTGGCCAGCTCCAGGGAAGACAGGATTTCAGCTCTGGGTAGCAGGAAGACAAAAGCAATCTCAGCTACCCAGTGAGATCAAAAAGGATTCTGTGTAAAGCATCATGGTTTTAACCTTCTTAGAAAARGACAGCCTTTTTTTTGTATGAAAATTCTGCCTATATTTGTGCGTTTTTTTCCTCCTCCAAAAATACCGTCCATTTTGTTGGAAGCTCTTGCCTGTACCAACTGAAGTTATTAACAAAGAACATACTAGAATGGCTTGAAAAAAAATCTAGGTTTCCTATTTGCAAAACTTTTTCCCCTCTGATTTCTTCAGAGAAGGTCCCCTGGAGCACAAGTGAATATAGGACTCTCCAAGTGATACCTTCCACTGGWTCTCTGGGCTGTATTTCTGAAGTGGTTGAATAAAGCCGCCACTAGACAGTCTACAGACTTTCATTTTGAAACATGTTATACAGAAGCATATGACTGCATTTTATAGCACATCTCATGAAGACATGCAGCTGACCATTTAACAATTTCCTAGCACTGGTCCCAATCAAAATTMGGAGTATGATGTAAAAGACATTTTTTAGTGCATCTTTATTTGTGCAAATGTTCCTTTATATACCACTTGTGTAGTCTCTGAATGCCTTAGAATTGTACTGCCTGGTATCTCTCAATTTAATTACAGGTAGGTGTCACAATACCACATATTCTGTTCTCCAGGTTGCTTTCATACAAAGTAATCAGTGACATGTTTCAATACTATCCATGCCTTTTTTAAAGCTTAAAATAGAAGAGTCTTTTTATATTCTCTGCTACATGAGTTTTTCACATTTATTTTCAAATTCATCTGAAATCATATCTCCTTACCCTGTAGCATTTAACTTGTCTCTCTTTTCACACTATTAATTTATCAATTTCAGCAAGACTTGGCATGGCATTATGAAATATTGCTAGAATTAAATCATCGGTGAAAAAAAAAGAGTTGCGTGAAAAACTCTGGTCTCTTTCACACCGCAAGCTGTAGGAATGAACTCCACCAGAAACGCTGTGTTCAGTTTAAGTGTTCCACTGCTAACATCAGATTTCTTCTCACTTGACAGACAATTCATAGAAAAATTTTTAGAAGTCACCATACCCTGCATCACTAGCTCCCAGAAATCAGGTAAGACTTTATCTTCCACCTTGGACTTCAGGTCCCACAGAAAGTCATTAAAACACTGGAACTCGAACAGCTGAAAAAAATACAACATAGCAGCAATCGTTACAGAGATGTAGAAGTCACTTGATAGAGAGCTTCAAACTTAGCCACCTAGCAGGGTGAACACAAAAAACACCTCAAGATCTACCACTACAGCTTTATCTCATCATTACATATTTAATTCTACCAAACCCAAGATTTCTAAGGTAGGATGATACACAAAATAAATGGCATTTCAGAAATTGGAGACAGGCTTGTGACTAGCTTTAACAAGAAATTTGGAAAACACACTTTTCTACAAGGATTTGATCACAGGTTCTGCGTTTTCATGTTTAAAACAAAACAAACAGCAATCTATAGCACAGAGAAACTAGTCCCTATTCCAGAAGGAATAAAAAGTACAAGTAGTATTTCTAAACTTTCAAACAGTAAAATGCACTTCAACCTATGAATCATTTCTTTAGGCTATAGCAATAATATATCAAGCTTTTCATATAGTAAGAATTCAATTTGACAGAAATCAGACTTTCCATATATCATCATTACCTTTATGGCCTCTTCTCTAAAAACTTTGATACAATTAATGCCTTTCATGTAGTACTGTAAACCTCTATTTTCCAAAAACTGATCAATGCGGTTTATCAACTGTTGACTCACTGAAAAAAAACACACACATTTTCAAGGTGAGAAAGTCTTTTTCCTTTACCTCTCTCTTACTATTCTATACAATCTCAACTGGCACAAATGGAGTTAATTATACCCAAACCTCCTCAAGCTACTCCACTTATTAAGGGGTATCTAAGCTAGTGAAAATTACTGTCGATCTATAAAAACCACAGGCACCACAAGAAAGACAACAGTCCATTGCCTCTTCCCCAACAAGAGCAAGGAGGTAGGTTAAGAGCAACCAAAAGMAAGCACTTTCCGACTCAAAACAGTGAGGCAACCTGTGGAACTCTACCACAGGCTGCAGCAAGACAGTCAGGTTTTAACGGCTTCATAAAATACTTGAACAAATTATTTTAAGAGCAAATCTATCAAGGGAGATGAAGCACGAAGACGCGTTGCCATTTGGGCAGGAAGAGGAGGAAAGCATTCTGTACAAGCAGCAGCTCCTGCCTGCTCTTACTCTTGACACAGCCACTGCTCAAGACTGGTTATTGGACTGGAAGATCTTTACTCTCATCTATCACCATTCTTACCTTCAGCTGCCACGTGCATGGGGGTCATTACAACTGTTTCAGCTATGGAAATGTCAGGACAGAAGAATTAGAGACTAATGGAAAGACAAGTAAAAGCACTGAGAAGCACACAGCACTCGAGTACTTTATTCCACTCTGCTGACCGTAAGTATATAGGGAGCTGAGCCATGAGGTGGGTGTTCTAAAAAGTGCCCAACTGCATTGGTTCTGAAGAACAACATTTTTGGAAAAGACAGTAAATCAAATACACTGTGTTTGAAGGTCTTCCACTGGCTGCTGATCTTCATGATCTAGAAACGGAGGTGGATGGTAATTCTGTGCTACTCTAACACAAGAAAGTGAGCCAAAGTGCTCACTGTTCCACAGGTGATCAACTCCATTTATTTACCAGAAGCTGACAAACTAAATTGAAATCTCACTACTTAAGCTCCACAAGTTAAGCCAGTCCATTCCTTTCATGCTTAACGATTTTCTCATTAAATGTTCTAATTTCTTACGAATTACACTAATAAAAGCAAGCCCTGTTGGTGTTTCTGGTGGTGGAGGTGGTATTTTATATTCTGCCTTTTCATTGATGTGTTAAATTAAAACCCCAGGCATTAAGGGGGTGTAATAAAAGTCTTCTTTGTCAGAATGATTCTAACATACTATTTGGAATTATCATATAGTTTACTTATTCTTCTGTATTTAGTTTTTTAAATCTCCTTCTATTTGGTTGCACTGGCAGGTGTCAGAAGAGCCAGCTACAGACTGATCTGCCTCTTTTTGAAGTCCACTGCAAGGAACTACCGGAGCYCTGCATCATTTTGCTATGTCATGCTGTGCTATAAGGTTATATCCCCCTACATATCCCCCTGCATACATCATATGTAGGGGACAGGTTACACTGCAACAATCATTTGAGTGAGATGCTTAAAAGCTTGAAGTAGCCTGGCTAAACCTAGGTCTGCCCACGAGGTTTCCCTGAAATGGCAGACATTACCATGGTGTAATAAATTTCCTTTTCTATGTCTCCCCATCTCTGCATCCCTCCTAAGGAGCTAAAATAGTGAACTTATACATCTTGCATGAACTGCAATTCTCTCAGTCCTAAAACACCGTTTTCAGCACATCCAGGTAATTTTAATCTCTCCTGCCTCGTTTTACTGGAGCCAATTGGTTAGATCGTGCACTGAGCGATTATAGACTAGGAAATGACAAGTAAAAACACTAGACTATAAGATCTATTATTTCTAATGGAAGTCTAACYTCTTCCCACTGGCAYTGTGGAACCTTCCCTGCCCTATGAYACACTAACTAGTGCTGTTGCTTTTTGTGAAATACTCTACAGYAGTTMCATYTGTTGYTCTCTACGAATAAGCAAACATTARTTTGCTAATGTAGCTGCACTTCCATGTTTGCTCAGTTGCTCTCTATCCCCATGCCCAATATCTAATCTAAATTTCGCTTTGTCTCTCACTCTACTGCAATGCCCTTCTAAGGGAAGTCTGACTTCATCTCTGTCTGTGAAGCAGACATATAGAAAACTTCAAAGCGGTTTTATATTCAAGTATTTGAGTTGCAAATAGTCTAATGATTGAATCATTTTCAAACCAGTCACTGAACTCAGCCTACCTAGCAGCAGAATATGAACAGCATCTGATATATAGAAAGACATTCAATAAGATAAAAATGCTGATGACCTGCAAAGACACAAGCCAATAATGAATTCACTTCAATTCAGTGAAAGTAAATATTAGCTTAAAAATAACAAAAAAAGCACAACACTTTGGTGTATACAGGTGGAAAGCTACACCTCTTTCTACACAAAGACCCTGCAAGAAAATATGATCCCTGCTGCAACCTCCTCATAAATTTCTAGTGCAAATCTGTCATATGCAATTCTCTTATGCATATGAAGCATCCAGTACAAAGCAGCCTTATTATACATTTCATTCAAGGAGTGATTTACATGCCAAGGCAAGAGTGTGGCACCTCAGGCAAGCCAGAATATTTGCTGAAATCTACATATGCAATTACTGACCAACTTTATTTTTCTGCAAATGTCCAGGAATTAAAAAAGGAAATTAAAAAATAAACGAAAAAAGACAACACTGCTACTAACGCACACACACAAAAAGGAAAGGCTTAGTACTATTTATCTCTGGACATTTTTCCTAAAGCCCATGCACTGTACAGTTGTCTTGGCACATTTAACTCTTCACTGATAATGAGTAAAATCAGCAATAAATAAATAAATAAAATAAAAACAGGATTTCAGACATCATGTTCCCAAACAGCAACACCTTAAGATGCAATGAAATTTGGCCAAGAAACTTGCCCAAAAATTCTCCAACTGAAGGAAATACCATGCATACGTTGGTATTCCTTTTTTCCCCCCTTCAATAAGGCATCTCGATTTCCACAAATCCTATGAAAATTGAGCAGACAGCTGCTCTCCAGCAATGCAGAGAGGAACAGTAACTTGTAAAGCCTTCCAACAGGGTGACACAGCAGCTGCGTGGCTACTCCTTTAGCATTACAAGGCTGCCCAGCACTCACCACGTTCCTGGCTCCTCTGCAGCTGTAGCAATAAGGAAACTTGTTATCTGCTCCTGGGAGTAAAGATTAGATTCTACTCAGGCAGACAAATCTATCTTATTTGCATTCATTGACAAAAACGTCAGAAGCTGTTATTAGAGGACTGCTTTTTGTGATGACTGTGCACTTGTAACCTACTCGGAACAAGACCTGCATAAGATGACATCTCTGTGGCCATGAATACAAACAGGAGCATAAAGATCTCTGGAGGGGAACCACAATACTACTCTAATCAGGAATAAACATTGATGAGTAGTTTGGCACCCTAGCACATAACTGATCACGGAAATTGTACTTGGGCCCCTACAGTAATGAACCACAGAGTTGTCAATTAAAAGGAAAGTTGATTTCAGGAGCTGAGCTACCTGTCTCAGAAAACCTTTCACAAAGACCTCCACCAATGTGATTTCTTTCACATTTTTGAAAGACTATTAACACATTGGTGACCAGACTCTTGCTAATGCAGGACCTGTCATTCCTCCTGCTCTTCTGTTTGCTCTGTGTTTTGCACTAAGACAGAACCTTAACCATCAAAACCCCTGGAAAACCACTGCAGAGGATGCCTTGATACCTCCTTTTGAGCAATAAATATGCTCCTAGGAGTTTAAACGATTTTCTCTTTACCATAATTTGGGATTGGTAGTGGTAAAATTGCTCAAAGATATTTAATTGCAGAAGGCACTGGGCATTTAAGGTAAGTGCTAAGCCTCACCTCAATTAAAAAGCCATGGTATTTTCAGTCCCTTAAGTGCTACTCTTTCCATCATTACTACATAGAGGCTCAAATTAATAATCATAGAAAAAGTAGATGACAAATGCCAAACCTCAATCCTTCCCCCTGCCCCGCCCCCCGAAAAAAACAGGACAGGAAAACCTTTCCCTCAATCTCCAAACCTCACCGTTTTCCTCTGCTTTGAGGGAACTAGTTGTACAGAAAAGCAAAGAAGGAAAAGGATTTCCTGTCCTTCTGTGATTTTTTGGGAGAGAAAGGTAGAGGTGTGTCAAATGAAAGTGTAGACTATTCTCTAACAAAATAAAAACAGAGCAAAACCTCATTTTTCTCCTATGTGCATCCTGAAACGTATTTTTTCTTCAAATACATTATTTGAATGTCATAGATAATCCTTTTCTGCAATGAGATTARTTTTTCAACAAGGAAAAAATATTCTTCATCAAACATGAAATAAAATTATATTAAATAATCCCTAGATCCACTGAAGAGTTTTAAAGTAGAATCTACCATTTACATAACCAGACAGTAAGACAGGAAGCCAATAAAAGCAGGCCTGTAATGTTTTATGCATTAAGCTACTTAAAAGGCTCTAAAGTAGAAAGAGCAATAAGAAAATAAGCAATAAGAAAAACACATGCAGAGCATGTTTTTATTTATAGTGGTTTCCATCTCTTTCAAATGGGCAACTGCACCATGTTTTGGTAACCACATCTTATAATACCAGAACACATAATATACTCAGTAAAAGCATATTTCTCCAAGCATAGTCATCTCCAGAACAGTTATCAAATAGACATACTTAAACAATCTATTGATATAATTCAGTGTAACTAGTGTTCTTATTTGTGCCTCTAAGATTTCTTACATAAAATTATAAATTATAACAAAGTAGTCAATTGTTTCAGATACTGTACCCTAGCATCTTGTCCAATGCTTTTTGTTGTATTTTAATATAGTTGACATTTGAAAATTCCAAGTATTTTTTCCTAATAAACAGAATTTCCTCCAGATGAAATCAAGTATGAAAAGTTGGCACGCTACCTTATAAATTTTGAGGAGAAAATAGCCATCTCACACTTCAGCACTTAACTCCAGCTATACCAAAAAGGAGCACAGGCCAAGGCTAAAGGACCACCACCTCCCCTTTAAGTGTATCTGCATTCTATTTGCCCTGAAAATTAAGGCTATATTATTGACTATCAAGTAAATTAGGTATATCATACTGCAATTTTAAAACCAACACTTGAAACGGAGGGTGGAAGAGAGGRATGGCTAATTCAGTCCATACATCCTGGGCATCACTTTTAAGATATTTTTGGATCACATTACATATATCTTCATACTTCTGTACTGAATTGCTGTATAAGATGTGAACTTGCATTTTCAGGCATAGAGTACGCACAGCTGGTGAGGCAGGAGCTGCTCTGTGGGCTGTCCTCTTCCTCAGGTCTCAGGATCCCCATCCTGCCTTCTCCCTGTGTCGAGTGCTCAGTTCAGGAGAGCTGGTTCCTATCTCCTAGCAGCCACAAGCTACCTCCTTATTATACCCTTACTACAYCTTTCTCCTAAATTCACCCACCCTTACCTTGCTTACTTCATYAGGAAGGCAAAATACAACATGGAATTATGAGCAACCTCCTTTGCTGAGTGGCACTGGAAGCTACACAGCATCCTTGGGATCGCCTCAGCACTAGCCACCCATGTTTAGAGAAATGGATCTTACTACAAGCATAAAAGAGCAACTAAAAATAATTAGGACAGATAAAAGTCATTTACCTTCTTTGAAGTTAGCATCCCGCTGCCTCACCAGAATTTGGAAATCTTTTGCTGGATTAACACTGCCAACCTAAAGGGAGTCCAAAAATCTTAGAATTATTTGCCAATATCCATCTCTGTCTTCCATTGAAGTAACAGGAATCTTTATATATCTGTTCTCATATTAAAAAGAAAAAAGCCACAGAAGTGCTACACTTCCTCAGATGCAGATTCACAAAACACAATCAAGATAAAGATGATAAAGATTTAGAACCCAAATCAATGCAGAGAACAGGCTTTGAAATCAACACCTGTTAAATCAAATAGAGAAGTTCTGTTTCAGAAGATACAAAACGAAAACCAAATTCTACCACTAAATTGCAATTTTGATACTGTTTTCTTAGGCACACAGATTTCAGATTTTCATGCACCTGAGGAGATGCTGGTCCTAAAAATATGGGGGACTGATGTAAATATCTGTGCTAACACATGCCTAAAAGAGCAAAGTTCTCCTAACACATCCCCTTGTAGAAACTGGTAGCAGACAGTCTCAAAGTTCTGAGTTRTATTTCCACTAGAAGCTTCCCCTTATCATGAGTTGTGTATATCCAATAAACTACTTTCTCAGAAATAAATCTTGCTCTTCCAAAAAATTTGTAAAATATGCTTACAGAGGTGACACTGCCTTCAGCAATGCTAATGATGCTAAAACCACCTTCCTCGTCATCAGTTTTTAGCTTCTTAAGGCTGGGTTCATCTTCTTTGCTGCAAATCAAAAGGTCATAAATTTAGTACAAGCAATTAATTCAAGGAAAATTACCACGGATCCTAAGAATGGAGTAAGTCAACCTGTAAAATATACACTGAAAAGGTGACATTGGCAAAAATTTCATTATTCAGCTGTTCCAGCAGTAACAATAAACTACTTAGAATTCTCATCAGATTCATTTTAAACATGAAGCAGTACTGAAAACTTAAAGTAAAAAACTAATTTACTCTTCAAAAATTGCTAGTCCTAGTCTTGGAATTGACAGCTAACACCTATCTGTTTACACAGGGCAACTCTACCAACCAATATTCTCCATGAGCACATGAGAACTTGACCTGGAGCAGTCAAAACATGCTACAAAAATGCCAATGAGTATGTAGCTCCTCACATAGAAAAAAACAACCCTCAACTACAGCTGGAAATCCTTTCAAAGGATGACTTAACTTTTAGAGAGGTAACTGTGGTTTAGGTTGCCTCTTAGTTTTGCCTTYGCACTTAATATATTTCTACCTGCAGATTCAAACTGAGAATCAAATTACCCAACTGGCCAAAATTCAGAGCATGTCCTGGCAACAGGAGGGGAAAAAGAAAGAAGGAATAAGAAAAAAGAAAGAAAAGGCTGTTAATCACGGGAGAGGAAGGCAAAGGTACTGAACGTGATGGGTGGGCACCAAAGAATCCATTTCACTCCAAGAATGAAAGTTACTGAGTGACCTAAACTGTRGCCTGTGTAAACTAGTGCTTAGGGAAATTTAGAACAGGATAAAAAAAGGTTATTCTTAAACAATCCTACTTCTGCAGTGAAGGAAAAAAAAGTGCAAGTATGGACAAAAAGACACCCTGAATTAGGTCCGGCTTTCCCTGTTTCAGGGTTGAAACCAAATAAAAATGTACWGCATGTTACAGAGCAATGATTAGAAAGAAATTGTATTTCTTTTTGTACTACAAGACTTTTYCCTCCACTTTTTATAGCTTACTCAGCCCCTCCTTTAGGCACAATGTCTCTCCCACTTCATTTCAGCAGTCATCTTTGTTCTTAATTTTGTCACTACTGAGATTAAACCCCTTCTCAGCAACGCCTGTCATCTGAGATGACGTTACYGATCACTCCAGGAGGAAGGTAGGCTTTGGTTATGGCTCAGGACAAGGATAGGATACCTTGCCTCATTCCCACCACTGCTGACTTTGTGGCTGACCTAGGGCACATGGCTCAGTTGTTCTTGTTCTCAGTTGCTCTTTGTCTGAAAAATGGAGAAATTGATACTTATACCAGAAGTYAGAACTTCTGCTTGTGGGTTGACATAGTTTGATGAAAGGCACTATGATTATCCAAAATCTTCCTTTTAGACTCTTCTCTTTAAAAGCTGGTTTGCATTTTCTTGAAATTTCATATGAAACATACATGTAAGATTAATTTAATAAAACCACTTCTACTTCTGTAGAGAAGCATCTCACCTACTGAAAATCTGAGGAGTTAACAACCGCTCCAAAGCAATCCTAAGAACAAAGTAAAATGCTTTCCACTTTACTGGAGGTTTTTGTTTTGTTTTCTACTACACATTGCACAGTTAAAGTGAAATAAATAAATACTGAAAATTCCAACCAAAGATATCATGTGTGCAGTTATGCTGGCTTAGTCYCATTAGATCTTAAAAATTAACCTGAAATAAATCAGGTCAATATCATGATGAGACATCAAATGAATGAGGCAGAAACAGTAACAAATTAATTTTAAGAAAACAGTCAAGAAAGCTTCTAGTTAGGTTTTCCAAAACACTTTAGTGCAAATTATCTAGATCTGATATTTTAACAAGTTGGACATTATCTGCTATTACCACTTAGTTACTGTTTTTGTGAGGTATTTTTTGTCAACCTATTATTTAACTGCATCACTCAGCTTTTTGCAAACAAGGCAGAAAYACAGTTAATTCTGCTGTAGTGCTGACAACGCTACTATTTTCACGCCTTTCTACACCAAAACCGAATTACATCCATTTGTACCTTTCCAATCTTACTACCACTAATTTTTCTCCACAGTTGAACCTTTTTTTTCCAAAACTATCTGAATGCCTCACAGTATTCCACAGTTCCTATAATTTTTTCTAGTTGTTTCTACTTCTCAAAAGAAAGGTTTTTTTTTTTTTAAGCAAAAACAGCCTTTCACAATTAACCACTTGGGGTAAGGTGTTGTTCACCAACTACCAATAACATACTAGGCTTTTTTGTCTGTTTACATTCTTTCCTTAGCTTGTTTGACCCCAAGTTCTAGTGATTTCTTGAACTGCTCCTAAAACATCATTTTCATAAAAATATACMTAAAAATATACAAAGCAGATACACCCCCACCCCCCCAGCTGGGGCACAGTACAAGGACAGGTGAATTCAATCAGTATGAATTCACAAACACACCAAGACAAGCCAGGCACACAGAGTAGCAAAAACATAAARCCAGGTACTTCTTAGTCTGCTTACAGAAAAATTATTTTTTTTTCTGTAATTCAATCAGTATCGCAGAGTAGTTACAACTTTGAGCAACTTYGCAGGGGAGCAGAATGCAATACCAATTAACCAAATTCACATCTGCAGCACAAATAATGTAACATAATAAAAGCAAAGACTTTTTAAAAAGTGTTAAGAAAACAGATATTGCAGGAAAAGTCCRTAACAGCTAGTTTCTTTTCCAAGACATACACCTTATTGCACAAAAATATTCTTTAAATGAAGTTGCTTTTCTTTTGACTTGGCATTCAAAACAAAAGCTRCCGAACAACCAATATAGAGCATGCCGAGATAAAAGACTCATCTTCACAAACAGTTTAAGACTCCACAGTATTTATTCTAAGCTGAATGAGATTTTGTTATTCAATTTGTTTTACAGATAGGAGGGGAACAAACTTTCTAAYCATCAGGCAATTAAGGATTGGAACAGTTAGCGCCAAAGTTCTGCGGTCTCCACCCTTGGATGATTTTGAGCGCAGACTGGATTGAGCCCCACGTTACCTATTTAGATCTCAGAGCTGGCTCTGCTTTAAGCAGCAGGTTGAACAAGAGACCTCCCATTTTCGACAATTCTGTRCCTACCAGCATAACCTGCCCCATAGCATCTGGAAAGCTATTCGCAACACCCTAAACTGTGGTACCACAACCATCATTTTTCATAATCTAACTCACTGATTTTATGTTCAAACGATTCTGAGTCTTTAACTCACTTGTCTTTGAAGATGTCTTGAGCTGTCTTGTCTTCTTTCTTCTTGCCAACATCCTTCAGGGGGAAGAGTGCTTTTATTTTTTCAAGAGCAACCTGGCATCTTTCTTTTACCACACAGGGAATCTCGAGCATCTCCAAAAGGTGCGGTTCAATCGGCGGCAATGGCTTATCGGGGTATAAAGCCTTATGCTGCAAACACTGCAAGAAATAGGTTAAGCAAAGACAGACTTTCAGGTTATATGCTTCTAATATAATATGCCTGTGTATCTGACTTCATCTGCTTTATTAAAAAATGTCTTCCATACTAAAGGGGAGGCTATGTTCAGAYTGCTGCAGTATTCCAGTTCTCAAGAGGATTGAAAGTCATACGATCAGGATGCTTAAGGAGATTTGTAAAGACATTAAACAAGATGACGGATTAAAAATGGCTACACCTGCACTCATTGTAACAAGCTCAAAAGAAAATTATGGAAATCCAGAGGAATGAAAGAGTTGTTCCCAAGTATTCAGCTTTTCAACTTAGTTTTACCTTTAAAATACAGTCCTTTTACRTAATACTGTCACATAGCGGAGACTTCCAGGAATTCCACAGTTAGTCAACAAGACACACWCAACTTTGTATTCCAGCTGTTTGAACAATTTATTCTTTTCAGAGAAAATATTTTTTTCATCAATAAAATTCAGTATGCATAACAATAGAATTTATCACCAGTTTAGAAGCGAATGCCAAGAGAGAAATTAAAGATGCACAGGTGAGGCAGAGAACAGAGGTGTGTTTGCAGAGGAGCTTTGAAAAGAATGAGGGACTGACAGCTGTGCAGGAGAGCTGAACAGATGGCAGGAGCTACAMAGGAGAAGGCTCTTTCACCAAAGTGTAAGTGCACACAGGCAGGGGCCCGGCAGAGGAAGAATGAGCAGGTTAATGAGGCTGGCTACAGAAACTCCAATGGGAATTTTAAATACAAAGCAGCTACTTCTTAAATGTTAAGTATGGGATAGCAGTAGGTATGTCTGTCCGTGCACATGCTATGCACACACATATATATATATGGACAGAATCACAGGCAAACACACATGCTGTATGCAGGAGAATATTTTATCCCATTCCCCTGTACCATGTGGATCAGACAATATGGATATAACTATTCAGTACATCAGGAAAACAGGCTAGATMTGCTCCCCCGATGGCTGTCAGACATGACCTTAATTTAAAAAAGAAAAACAAAGCAAACAAAAAAATTCTATTCATGCTGAAGAGCTGCCAATAAACAAAATCCAGACCATATGCTACACATCAATACTGATGTGCTTTCATGCTGCCATTAAGATTGCAATCCATATTAGCACATACTTTCAAAAGGAGGCAGTCACAAAAGGCTACTGATTTGTAAACACTTGTAATGATTTAAGGCATAATTATTATGAAAGAAAGTAAAAATGTTGCTAGGAGCTGCAGTAATGGCTCTTGCGATACAGGAATAAAATAATATTTAAACAGCATTAGGGAATTGATTTAAACCCATGAAGGAAAAAAAAAAGCAAGTCCTTTATTGTGACTGCTTTTGTATCTCAAGTTCCCAATTGAGTAGTTGCAATAGTTGGGCAGAATGAAAAGCAGCCACAGCCTCCATATACTCCATTTTTCAGAGCAGAAGATGACTTCTGAAACCTGACGTAATAAATGGAGATAAAGCAACTTTAGACTTGATCTTAAATTTTAACCCATCAGCCGCTTCTAATCTTGCTTCCTCTTTCTTCCAGCAAGAAGCTCTCCCACCTTCACTGGACAGCAAGACACTGAAGCAAGACAGTAATGAGCAATAGAAGAAATGCCTGAATAGACAGGAATAAACTACAAAAAGGCATCCGCCCCATTCTCTTCCATCCAGCATCCAGGAAAATACTTTCTAAAGAACATATCCCAGCAGTTCTGTACAGCCTGCAGGAACAGACTAGTATTTAAAGCTGCAGAACATGAGTAATAATATACAGCTGTTGGTATTAAGCATCCCATCTGAGTTCTCTACTCATCCTCCAAAATCATAACTTTCAATTGTGACATCTAAAGTAAGCAGGATGATTCATTTTCCAAGGTTCCCTTTTCAGGGATTACGGAACRTGCTTAAACAACTGCGCTTACGCAGTTTGCTAGCTTGCGGGTGGATAAACATTCCTGAACTGGATCTCACCACAAGTGCCTTAGTGTTCAGCGCGTTTGTGACTAGTTTAAAACGACCYTCCAACAGATCTACTTCATGCAGTGGAGAAAGAGATGGTGTGACGTTCAGGAGTTGATGCAAGCGACCTCCTGTCCCTCTCCACCCGCCTGTAGAAAACACATCCCATCATCACTGAACAGTCCATCTACTTACAAACAAGCTCAGTCCTCCAGGATCATTCTCATGGGGTCTAGCAACAGCCATTACAGCACCTTTAGACGTGGATTCTGCAGCTGGACTGGCTGGATCCCAGGAACTACCCAGTGCTGCAGGCTACCCTGACCCCAAATCTACCGCTCAGGTCTGTCTCAGTAGAGAACAGTGGTGAACAACTTATTTGTCTGGATACCAAATAAAATGCATTGCATTTCATTCCCTAATGTCCTATACACTTCCCACTGCTGTACTGAAGAGAATCAACTTTAACATTGAAGTTGGAAGTTTGGCACCATCAAAGTCACAGAAGATAGAGCAGGCTTTTGTGGAGAAAAGTGAAGAGGAAAAAAAGTCAAAAATGCAGCTGAAGCTGTGGGTACAGGATATTCCCCATTTCCCACCCAGCAAGCATTAGCAACTTTCCACCCACTTGGTTGTTTCCTGATGCCCACTAYCGCTTCCAGAGAGATATTTTAGCTTGATGTTTCTGTTTAAATTCTGACTCTTGTTGCTTGCTATTCAAAGTATCTTTATGAGGCATGAGAACAAGGAAATGGAGGAAGAACTCATTTCTTCCTCAGTGCTGTTTTTCCAAGTAATCTACCTTGTTCAACTAGATCGATTTACTGGCTACATTGAGAACATAATTTAAAGTTTGTTTTTAGCTCACCTAAGAAATAAACAGCAATACTTATTTAAAAAAACCAAAAGTACTTGAATAAGAGGATAAGTGCTAACAGGGCTTTATAATAGTAAACAGTACAGACAGATCTGCATACTACCTAATATATTGAAATAATAAACACATTTTCCATCAGTAGCATTCACCCTTAAAAGTCCTATTACTCTTCAAGAAAACTGTCAAGATAAGTAGTTACTCTTGTAGCAGCACTTAACTGTAGGGACAATGCCAGGAAAGAAAATTCACATTGTACCTAGAATTTCTCAGTTATGTTGCTATCTCCTATGTGTTTCATGTATAAGTAAAATCATATTTGCTACCTAATATCCAAGCTTTATAGTCCTTCCTAAAATACAAGTGATGTAGATGTCAATCCATTTTAAGCTCTTCCCCAGCAAAATCTTTTGCTGACCGAGTCCTGCATTTGGGTTGCACACTGTCTTGTCAATCTGACTGGCAGAATTTAAAACGGGAACATTTAGTACTTCAGGCGTCAATCAGAGTAGGCTTTGAAGACCCTGGGGTTACTCGTGATCCTGAAACCAAAATTTGTCCTCCAAATTCGCTATTTCTGATAATGCAAAGAAAAAAGAAAGAGACATTGTGACTTTTGAAAGCCAGGGTGATCTTTCTTAATTTAAAACCACTTTTTAAAGTGAAAAAAGATCACTTGGAATTGTTGAGACTTTATAAACATAGATCCTATGCCATTTTTGGTCAATTTTAGAGTGTMATTACACAATTCTCTCCATGGCATTGTACACAACAATTCCGCAGCTGCAGAAATTGCATCGTAATTGTCTTTATTTTTGAATTTGCTGTGTCATCTTTTTTGAACACTTGAATCCCAACGCATAATCAGTCTCTTAGCCTCAGAAAGCAAAGAAAAACTTTATGATGTAAAAAGAATATAAACCAAAACGCAGACAGCGTAAATACAAGTAGTGTGAACTGTTCTGTTTGTCTGTAAAATACAGAATATGGTAACACTATTAACTACTTATTTCCAATCAGTTTTACCCTAGACTACTGTTYTCGAAACACTGCTAGATGCAGTGATGAATAGAGAAGTGGCTGCACTCAAGAGTTCCTGGGACACAGAACAAGAAGCTTGATTTTCCCCAAGTTTCAGCCAATGTCTCTCTTGGCCTAGAAGCTGAAGGCTGTGTGTATACCTGCATCATGGTCATTGCAACACAATTTTAAGATGCCATGACAAGTTCTCACTTCTGTGTGCCAGCGAGTTTCCAGGATGCTGTGGAAGATCTCAGCACGTGTGAGTTGATATACTTTTTTCTGGGTTCTTCGTAGCCAGAAATGTTAAAAATAAAACGTACGCCAGGAACTACACAGAAACCATCACTACACATTACTTACATACAACAGAATTTAAATCATACTCTTCACAGAGCAAATCATTTCCATCATAGCTGGAGAAGACAGAAAGATKAACAGTTTTAATGAAAAAGACATTTTTAAAATACAACATATAGTTCATCATCTCACCTGGTATAGTCTCTGAAAATGAGGGTTCGAGATTTTGCTGGGCTTAAACAGGTCCTCAAAACTTTCTCCATCTTCATCTTCATGAACTAAGTTCATAGAATCAATCAGCGAGTCAACTGCTGATAGCTGGTCCGCTAAGATAACAGGAATTAAACACATTTGCAGATGGTTGTTTCTTGAAACAACTTACAAACGAAGATCCATTTCAAGAAGGGAGATTTCAACAAAGGCATTAGATGYCAATGTAGTTATAGACATACTGACAAATATGGATAATGGATACAGTAATAAAAATCCTGCTTTACTTAAGAACAACCATCTAAAGTTATGAGGCCTTTGGAGTTTTGTTTTGAAGTCCTTAATTCTTTCTGCCATTTTTCTTCTTTTTCAAGATGTTTTTATTTGTAATAGAAGGTTCTAGATCTCTTGGAAGAAGGACAACAGTTGATTTGAAAAAACTAAATACAACTTAAAGTTAGGATTGTAAAATAACTCAGTTCATGATAGTCAATTACTGCTTTGTCATGATAGTCAATTACTGCTTTGATAAGACAGGCTGTTAGATTTTTTCAAAAACTGATGGTTATGGACAAGAAACTAGGACCTGGCTTAAAAACATCTCACCATTCCGACTAGCCATCACCCATTGAGTATATCATCCTACAACAAATTAAAGAAGTTCCAGGGAATTTAAGCTATGAAAACAATCTGACAACAGCGRGTTAAGCTTGTGGGCCTGCACATTCTCTCCAGATGCCTCCACATGAATCTAGCCAGTTCATGCTTTAAAAAAACAAAATAAACTTYTCAGACAAGAATACTGTGCAGTCTTGACCTTTTGGTGTTGCATTAACAGCCCGCGCTGCAAGTGGCTGCTGGATCAGCTTTGTATGAACGAAGCTGATGCCTCTGCTCTAGACAGTTAAGCACAGGCTATAGACCCCACCATAAGCCACAGCCAGTTAGCTGTACAAATGCATTCAGAGACCAAAGATGTTAGAGCTCTATCAGAGAGATCTTGCAAGACTAATAATCACCTAACCCAAGCCAGGATTCATTAAATGCGGCATTTTTAAAGATTGCCTGCAAATGTGAAACCGCAAAGCTAAAGTTTTGACACTAGCTTTACACTTCAGGATGACATCACTTTGACATATTTGCAAAAGGCTGTTGGTGAGGTTTGTTTGATTTTAAGTCAAAATAATCACAAAACTTGTGTTTCCATTGGAATGTCAAATATTCTAACTATTTTAGACCATATTAAGGAAAAAGGAGTACATTATTTTGTCCAGATGGAAAGGGGGCTCTTACCTGTAGGAATATATTTTTTGTTGTTTTTCAAGGAAGAAAACACATACTGTCTTAAGTCTTCCATGAAGGGTAGTTGCACGTAGATGAGACACTAAGTGAAATGAAGGGAAGAAGAAACATTTAAAAAGAAACAATCGACTCTAAAATGAAAAATCTCAAGTTCCCTAGAAGTGCCCCACCACAGAAATGTATAAAAAACAAAAAAAACCAAAAGATTTATAGAACAAGCTATAAGCAAAATAAAACAAAGATTGCTTAAAAACACAGCAATGACTAAACTGTTGGTGTGTACTGGTTGAATGTAGACTTCAATTTACCCAATTTCTTTTTCTTAGTGGTTTCCTGTAAAAAGTTCCATTCAGTCAAGCTTTGAATACCCCATCCAATGGRGACTCTAGGAGCTTTTATCATAGCTTACCGAATTTGAAATCTAGAAGTTGTTTGACATTCTCAGATGAATTTTTTTCTTTATTCAAATTCCTCTTCCAGCTCATATCACCCTAAATAATTCCTTTCCATCCTTTATGTTTATACCCTTCAAAAGCCTGAAGACTTATGTCCGCCCCCACCTTAGTCATTCCTTAGCCACGCTATACATATTTAGATTTTGAATAGTCTCCTATAAGTAAGATCAGTGGAAACATATGCTGCATAAATTCTGAAATATTGTGTTGCTTTGGGCCTCTCAGAATTTTTTTCAATTTTATTTCAGATACGATTTTGTTGTGCACTAGAGCTATCCATAGAAAAGGAAAAGGCCTTTTATTTTAAAAAAAGAGAACCAAGACACCAAAATGAAATTTCAAGTTTTACTGAWTTTTTTTTATATTATCTCTATGCTATAGAGAATACTAATACAAACTTATTACATGATTTTCCCCTTTTTCTTCCTAAGAAATATATTTTAAACTATCTGTCCTGAGTTGTTATTATCTTGCAAAATCACCCCCTCTCCCTCCTGCAAAAAAAAAAAAAAAAATTCTGCAAATTTGTATGGTTCAGTTATAATCATTTATTAAATCATTTTAGGAAACCATCGGTAAGGAGGATCTCTAAAGAACAGTAGGAGTTAAATATTACCTCATATGCATCCTTAATTAACGGAAAGGCTACACCAATCTGTGGGTTACATCTTTCACCATAAACGTAACGTACTATGGCCACTAATTTCAACTCATCCAGGGCATGGATAAGGGCAGAAAAAGCAACTGCTGCATTCTGAAAAAGAAAAGAAAGTTTGCAAAATCACACCAGTTCTCAGTAACATCTGCTGAAATACATTGAATTCCTACTAAATTAACTCAAAGAATTTCCGCTGCACCTGAAAAAAATTAAAAATATTATCTAAAAATATCAGAAATATTGTAGGACAAAGCTAGGCAAGTTGGACCCTTAATGGAATAGAGTGCTTTAAAGTTTTACTTCTAATACTTTCATCAGACCTCTGAATTATTGTAGAGTATCACAGTAGCACAACTTTTTGTTCCATGTGAGAATGGATCTAAAGATCAATTCAATTTCTGTGCCCTTACAYATACATAATATTTACCAGATTCTCATTATTCATGTGATGTTGCACCCATTTGGAATCTGATTCAACTCCTTTGACCTTGTCAGGAGAACAGATGAAAACTTCTCTAAACTGCATTAAGAATATTTGTTTTATTCACACCATAAGAACCATCTCAAGTACTGCTATTATTTTTTCTTTCCTACAACAGAACCCTTTTTGTTCACCTTACCTCATCATCTTTGGCTGCAAAGACCTTGAGAACCTGGTTGCCCATGTAGTGCTGCCTCTGGACCTGCAGATGCAAATGGCCACGTGTTACATTAATGACATTCAGCTTGGATCAAGGTAACTGGACTGATTAAGTTATGAAACCACCAAGATCCTATTCATGTGAAAAAGCTGCARAATTTAATTCCTGCAAGTCCTGCATATTTTTCATGTTTGAATTTATCAGACAATATAGGTATTGAGTCATATTCTGCAGTATTGACCAGAAGCAGTGAGAGACGATGCTAATCTCAGGTGTTACCAGTCTGCCTTGTCTAAACTTTGCCAGCAAAGATGTGCCAAATGGATGCTCAAAGATACAAACAAGCTAAAACAAACAAGAAAAACACACAGGAAAAAAAAAATTGATTTTGCTTTGTTGAAGAAAATCTCTTCAAAATGCTAAACAATGAAACTTCAGGTAGCTTGGAGACAGTGGGCATCAACATAGCACTGCTGAAGTCGGTAACAACACACCCCCAGAGCAGATCTGTTTCTGGATTAAAAGAGGATTCCTGAACACAGACTACTGTGCTGCAATTATTCTTTACTCATCCATCTTAAAGAACTCAGGCATTTTTATGTTCGCTATAGTGTAAGTATCTGTACATCACGGTACCTCTTTTTTGTTTGCCAAAAACAGTTTTTATAGTACTTTCAAGTATTATTTCTTGATTTACATGGCATGCTTATAAATTAAAAATCAAAGTTTAAGCGGYCTCTGATCTTCTTTCCTGAGGGATGTGAATAACTGAGAAAATAATATGAGGTGGTTCTATTCCTTCTTTAATTATGCATTTGGAGCTGCTCCAGTTTCTCTAGTTAATAATAAATTATCTTTTCTCCAAAGTTTTTACATGAAACAATTTAATCTAAAACATACATTTGAATAGTGTTAGGATTATGACTCCAAATGGTAAAATTCAGGAACCAGAACACAAGAAAACTACAGATCTGGAAAATTCTAGTTTTAGTAGAGAACTTCTCAATACCGTTACCTAACAATACTGTTTCAGCCTTTCAAAGACATCTGAAAATTTTCATTCCATTGAGATTTTCACAACTACTGTTGGGCATAATTAYTCACACTCTTGTTTATAGGACAAGAGAACACATTAATTTTTATTACAAAATCCAGAGATAGGTGAAGTACATATTAAAATTACCAAAAGCAACATTGTTTGGTATATTGCAAAAATTGTTTTGCAAACAATTTGTGAATTCTTTAAGGGATATTTACATGAACTAAAATTTATTCCTACAAATAATCCTATTCAGACAGTCTGAACATATATCCACCACAATCCAATGGTGGAAAAAAATGTCCTGAAATGAATGAAAGGACTGCTCACCAACAAGAGCATGATGCCTCTCACCCATTTTCCTCTTAACTGCTTCCTATTTTAGTGAAGGTCAGACTTTAGGCTGAAATAATAGGCCAAACTCCAAAGTAAGAGAACATAGCACATGAGGAAATATTGCAGAATGAGATACTGACAGTAATATCCAGCTGCAGGCTAGTACAATGTGGAAAARTTGCAAAAATATGTCCCCCTGAAACCCTACATTCAGACATACCATGGCTGGATCAGGCTTCTGGTCCACAACTTGCCAGTCTCTGACATCTCTCTGCCCTAATCAGTTTAAGGTATTATAAGCTCAAGCATGATACAGTCCCTTGATCAGGCATTTTCAGTACAGAAGCTACTGCGTTACTTACCAGCTTTAAATTCTGGATGTCTGGATGTCCTCAAGTAGCAAACGGATTATAGCCAACCCATTTAGGCTGGCTTCCCTTTTAATTAAAAGAGCTTAAATCCCTGGCTCCTCAATTAACAGAGCGCTTAGGTCCACTGCACACAGTCTAAGGGCATATCTAGTCCTCCAAGGGTCTCTATGCAACATGTAGAGTTGAACAGAAAAACGTGGAGTTGCATCCATTTGGGAGTCAGCTCCCATGGATATTCCCATTTTCCATTAGCTTTTCTTTTTTTCCTGGCAAAGATAATGATTTCTCAGMCTTTCAAGGTTTCTACTTTGCATAGCGAGTGTGACATTTCAAAGAACAGGAGGCTTTCAGACGAGCAGGAGCAAGGCTGCCCTATGATCTCCTTAAGGGACTTCAGTTTTGGTGCTGAAGGGGACTGAGTGCAGTGACCTGCAAGATGAGTAGAGCTTCATCCACCCTTTGCAGTATCCTGAAGAAGCAAGAGCGGAGGCACCGTAACATTTCCAACAACTCCTGGCACTCACATTCCTGTACTTCCACCACTTGAGGAAAGGGTTGCTAGGCCTTGGCATTAGACTTTCCCAGTGCTTAAACCTCAGCTTTCTAGTAGGAAACCACCTTGTGCTGGATGGCTTTTAAAGGTACTACCTCAATTGAAGTTCCTTGCAATTTCCAGTTGAAAGGCAGCCTCAATTGAAGTTCCTTGCAATTTCCAGTTGAAAGGCAGCCAAAATTAACCCCACCAGTAAAGTATCTGCTCTATGCCTAACAGCAGGCATCTGTTGAAATACGCACAGATCTTGAATGACTTTACTCTCACCTACACTCTAGACCTTTGGCTACATTTAATTTTTGTGATAGCAGACGCCAGAGGAAAGTCACTGCTTATACATTAGTCCTTACAAAAATAAGAATGAATGCAATTGATTCCCAGGTCTTTAATGACAGCAGTTGAAAAAAAACACACCACGCTCAGCAGCAACACGGCTGGACAAAGCCCAAGAAGGTTTCTGAGCAACCTGAACAGAACAGAGACATCCTTAGTTGCAGATCTGCATCRCTTCTCAAGCTACTGAGAAGAAATAGTAAAGTACAGCTGCAGCCTATTTGTCGAGCTTTAAGATCAGTGGTTCTGTTTTAATCAAGGGCCCAGACATATTTATGAACTTTTCTTCATCAGAAGAATACACAGTGCTGGTATCTACTACAGTCAGCAAGTAAAACTCACTCTGATGGCAGGTGCYGCATTCCCAGTCACTGGAACCCAATGCAACAGCAGTACTTTAGTGAAGCTAAACCTCAACCAATTGTCTGCAAGTACCCAGTATGCTGAATGTGAAGAGGTTCACTACGATACCTGAGAGGATCTGCTGAATCCCAAAACAGAAAAACATTTTCCTTCAGTTTTGTATTTCATTTGCTCTTCATCTATTTTGGAAAAAGGAACTATATCACTCCCAAAGCGAAACCCTGGAGAACAGGAGAAGAGCATCTGGTAAGCATATGGGTCTACAGTTCTAACACTGAAATTAGCTCTCTGAATATTTTAACAATGTATGCATGCCCCACAGCTACACTCTATGCACGCTTATCAAATTACTTTCCCTGTTAACAACAAAAAGCCCCACATTATTTCATTATTTTACAGAAATAGTTACTCTTGCAGATAGCAGGAATGAAAATAAGGAAGAGCAGCGTCTTACCCAGATTATGTTCACATATTAAACTTAAGAAAATGGGCTATAACAGTCTCTGCAAACTAGTTGGAAAACCCAACACAATCATGTCAAAAATCACATACAGCAATTGACAACATACAGAACTTTGAGAAATAAACACACGCTAGTGATGGGAGATGCCTGTTCAAGTATGATAGAAAACTAAAAGTGCTCTAAAATACAGAAATGGAGGGACCACTTCTGCACACCACTTCCCTTGCCTTTGCATCTCAGGGATGCTTTCACAGATCAGGAACATGACTGATTCTCAGGGGTATGCTCTGCTGCACCTCCTTATACCCTAACCTCAAGATACAGGATCTTCTCTGTAACATACTTTACACTTCTCATATATATGTATATATATAGGTATATATACACATATAAACCAAAATGTATGTAAACACACAATTATATGTAAACTCCAGGAAAAGAACCTATATGCATTCAAGCTTTCCTGAAAACCAAAAACCAAGTGACCAAAGAAAGTTTCAGAAAGGCTGCTAAGGGGCAGAATATTGTCTTGTGGTATTTTTGATGATGTCCATAAGAGTCCATGAGACTTGAAAGCAGCTCTTTGAAGCAGTCCTTTAACTACAGTGAGCATCACACCATTGATAGGTAAATCTTTGGTGTCACTAGTTAACTTTGAACTGGTCACCGCTTTAAAATCATCAATCATTCACCAAGTGGGGCAGTCAGAATATCAACAGAGAATGGATACATATGCTCTAAAATATATGCTCTAAAATATACTTCCTATCAAAAGGAAGTTCTATTTGGCAAAAGATTTGAAATTATATTATATGAACAGACTACTAGTTTGTTGTTTGTTTGTTATAGGAAGAACAAACGAACAAAGTTAGGGTATTTTCATATACTCTTGCTAAAAAAAGATCTATGAATGCTACAAATGAAAGGTTTAAAACAGAAAATGTCTTGATTTTCAAATTTATTTTAAAAAACATTTTATTCAAAAATTTTGGTTGCACTTTCTATACTATAATCTGAATAGTTTTCCCCATCTACAACACATTTGCACTACTTGGTGGGTTTTAAACAGCAAAAAAAAAGAAAAAATAATTAAAATGTACCTATAGAATCACAAGGAATTACACATATTTGCTTGACTCAGTTTTAACGAGTAGACTCTACTTCATACTGATACTGAGGTCTTTATTTTTCTCATAAATCTAATTCACCCAGAGGAGTTGAAGGTTATGAGTAATTATCTTAACCATGTCAAGTACTCTGCATACCACTTCTTTAAATCAAAGCTCTCTCAGAATTTAAACAATCTCTGGAACATTAACACTTCCTTTAATAGTTTTATCTTCCCAATTGCAGAATAGAGTGTTTCCTTACCTGGAAATTCGTAAGTAGCTTTCATAGCACTGCCTCAGTACAACTCAAGAGCTTAAAACAATAATGGTAACATCACTACTCACTAGAACACAGAGGTGAGCTCCTCTGGAGAGCACAGTTTAGAAGGCTGTAGTACCTTCAAGTTACACTGATATTATTATTATTATTCCAAATACTGACAAAAGAAAGAAGTTAGGAAATTTAATAATATAAGCCATTAAGCTTTGGTTTGCCTTCAAGGTGCCTACAGAAATATCCTACCTTGAATAGTATCATCTTTCTGAATTTCCGTCTCATCATCATCATTTAAGCAGTAAACAGTTTCTCTTTGCACATCACCTTTGCTGAGGGTTTTACCATCTATAACTGTCCAAGTTTTTTTCATCTTCTCTTCTGTAAGCTTTATGCCRGAATTTCAAAAAAGAAATATCCATTTAGCATTTCAGTTGGATAAAAAAACAAAGAAACCCACACAAACAAAAAAAGAACCAACATACGCACACAGGCAAAAGCTACACAAAAATTTTGACTCAGTGCTGGGTTATTTATCAAAAATGGACTAAGACTGACTGCTACCATGGTGCTTGCAGTACATTGTTTCAGCTGCAAGACAGCTGTCAAGCTCAAACTATACTGTAGCATTTACATACTTGTCCTATTCATTAAAATCACAGGCTAGACAATCTATGCATGTTTTGGTCACAGGACGACTTACTTGCACCCCATCTTACTTTCCTCCTCTTTGCACTCACATTTTTTGACACATCATTAAAACAGAGAGTTGAAAAGACTCCATGCTTGTTCAGCTTGTTTGCTCGAGTTTTGCATCAGAGTCACTATACTGTGACATGAAAAATATCCTATTAGTTAAGCTTCCCCAAAAGGCARAGAAATACAAATTATATTACAGGACCCAGAGGAGAAAGAATGAGTAAATATTGGAAACAAGTGACTTTTGCCAGACTACACRGAAAGAAAAACACTTCCTTTTCTTCTCTACTCAAATGAGATTGATGGTGAACCCATTAAATGAGAACAAAAATGGAGATCTGTGAAGAATTCAGAAGACAAGAGACAAGAGGAGCAGATACTGCAAGTCTATTCCTACATCTTAACTGYCATATGACCTCAGGCTAGTTGCTTCATTCATGTTTTTCATTCTCTCAAGGTCCACTGATGCAGTTTGTAAACAGCTTTGGGAAGGGACTCTTATTAGGGCTTCACACAGGCCGGACAGAAAATCTTAATAAAATTAAAAATACTCCTGAATAAACATAAATGGAAAACTGTCATCAGAAAGCTCTACCAGGACTAGAAAGCCTGTTTTTCAGAAATCATGAAGATTTCAACTTTGTAATGCATATTTTTGAGACCTTGCACTATTGGGTAGGCCCCACTTTGAGGTTCAAATTACAAGCCAAATAATCTCCATCTCACCACATCCATCATCCCTGCCACACTAATTATGCAGTAACCAGGAGTTTGCACAATTTGTTTTTAAACATAGTTCCTTCCCCTCCYCAACACTACGTGAAAACCCCATACAAAATATAGGGGAAACAGACTGCATATGCTCTGGCAAACACTACAGAAATCAAACGAGCTGAAAGGACACATGTTCTTCCAAGTCTGAAATAACAATAGATGTCTTACGAGCTGTTGTTCTAACAATTACAGTGTCCCATGCTCAGAAGAAACATTAAGTGTCATATCGTAGATAGGAATTATTTCTGTTTCTGTACATAATGAATTCTTTACATATGTGTCCAATGTGATAAAGACAGAGTTGCTGTGGGAACCACAGCATTAGATGGACTGGCTTCTACACATAAAATCTCTACCTTAGCTATTTTGGATCTTGCTTTATCTTTTATGTGCTTTAAGGAAAAAAAGCTGTAGCACCTAACTTGCTGCCCAGGTACACGAGGAATACGATTTTATTAACTTACAGATTTGTAGGCCACGATGTTTATAGACAAATCAGATCCAATWGTTAACTGGCAGGGCCAAGCCGCAGGTCTTCTTTCCATTTTCTTAAACATCGAAAGACGCTCCAGGCTCTCTCTAAATGAGGGAATCGAGAAAACTGAAATGAACTCTTTGGTGAACTGTAATAAAACGTTACAGGCAATACACTCTCTCCTGGGAGATGCAGAAGCCCAATTGTTTCAGCTTAGACTGCATAAAGCATTAGAAAATAGGCTGCACGAATAATCTTTTCATTGTACAAAAGGAGCGAATGAACAAAAGAGGAGGAACAGTAAATCATTCCCTGCTCAAATCTTTATGATGCTGTGACATTAAGGCTTAAAAACAGTACGTCAGGTCTTAGGGGGAAACTATACAATTGCTTATTAAACGTTCTGCATTTATTGCTCCTCACCCAATTAAGACATACAGCTGGTCAAACAATCCAAGTTAAAAAAGGCTTTCAAGTGGCAAGATGTTTTCTACAGTGGAAATGAATAAAAGACTTATTTTCATTAACATTACTTTGTCCGAGAAGTAACTTCTGTCATTCTTTTAAACATGGTACTAATGAACTCATTATTTTCATAGCTCTGCTAGAATGAAGCAAGTTGCTTGGAATATTTGTAGTCCAAATAGTACATACGCAACATTATAAAACAGAAGGAAAAAAAAGCAGGCTAGTATTTTATTTCAAAAGCTATTTCCAAAATTGGAAACCGTTAAGCAATGGAGTCCARAATTAAGAAGCTGGAAATAAAAATTATTATTGTGAAAGCAAGCGAGTTTKATCTTTGCATCTGAGAACAGCTTTCAGCCATTTTGCTATGAAATTCTAGTGCAGATGAAGAACAAAGAAAATGTTGTCTCCACTGCACCATGAAGCAAAGGTAAAACAGCATTGACCTCACCATCTTACATCATGATAAACACCTAAATATACTTCTCTTGATATACAGTAGTTCAGGCAGAAATTAACATCACCACTTGACACRTTACTACAAGATTTAACTTGTTCTTTCAATTTTACATTCTCTTCAAAAGAGGATTTTTAATCCTAACTGCATGAAAAAAATCAAAGCAGAAAATGAGCTGGGATTTTATAAGGACTTTTTTTTTTCCTTGAGGGATGGAAGAGATATTTCTGATGAGATATCAGTATAGARTGTAAGCTAAGGACAAACAATTTAACAAAACTTCAATAGTATTTTGTAAAGCTGAAGGTTATGCATTTATTTAAAAATATTTAAGTATATTGCTAGAACTACTGCAACACATAACAGTCAAGAAGACAAGTGGAAAAAAAAAATCCTCCACATCATGCTAGCTGAATTTCCAAATCCTTTGTTCCTTTTATTTGCAGAAGAAAAACCTTCCCTCACATCAGAACRTATGGAGCCGCTATAGCCTAGCGAATACACACTTAAATTCCTGTTTTAAAACATGTTTCTTGTCCTCTGTTCCCCAGACCCTTCCCCCTAAAAGGGAAACTTGGCAGAAACATCTAATGCTTCCTGACAGAATTCCAGAGCATCAACTTCCTTGCTCGCTACACTGCTATAGGATCCTCCCCCCTGTACCTTAAAGGCATTATCAAGCCATAGAACAAGACAAAACCTTAACTGCACTTTCTTTCCTGGAAAGACTCATTAATTTTCATGAGAATCAAATCTTTATTTTTTATTCTTTTTTTTTTTTTTTTTTTAAATTACCAGTACCAATAATGAAAAGAGGAAAGCAGCGTGTCTGACTTGGTAAATTATCGTGACAGTTTTGCAAGGCTAACTTCTTAAGGCTGGCTAAGCACCTTAACTGCATTGGAAACCTCACATATTCTTCAACAACAAAAGCTTTAAACTATAAGTCAAATGTCTATTTATCCAGAGATTTGGAATTTCCCCTAAAATCATGGCACAAAGACAGCTTATACAGTATCAGAGTCTGTGAGAGAAAACACAAAGAAGGGGCAAACCACATAGTAGCTTCATGCACACATATTATCCTTAAGAGTAACTGGACCCAGAAAGATGCTGCTTTTTCTCTTTTTCTGCATTTCTTTTTTTCAGATTCTTGAAGCAGTAAGCTTTTTGGTTTTTTGTTAGTGTTTTGCAGAAAGAGCCAGGCTGCTCTGCTGGGCAGAACGGAACACATAGGCAGTGACGCTCCTGGGTTTCTCCACCTGTTCCTACTAATGCTCAGATAACAGTATCTGGCTGCTGAGATAAAGCAGAACAATTTTGCAGGGCRATGGAAAGAATCCCCATAAGTAAATAATAAATAGCAATACACAAACCCACAGGTACCATTCTCACCTAATGATCCCATACAACTAAATATTACATGCGACAGTCACTGTGGAGCTACAAAGTAAAAATCCCTGAAAATATTTTGTAAAAGCTCACTTCATAATTACAGGTCGAAAGCACTATTAAGGYAAAAATCAGACTTTAAGACATCATTTGGAGCACATGTGCAGCTTTCTTGCTTCTCAACTAACGAATGTGTGGAAGAGTCTCACATACAGCTTTAGCAGCAGTTTTCCAGACATAAACCTATTTTTATTGTTTCACTAGGGAGATATCAATCTTTCAATTCTCCTGTTAGGAATACAGCTAAAACAGTATATTGTTTGGCACAAATACACAGCAGTCTGTGATTAAAGAGCAGGATTCAAGAAACGACGTTAATCAAAATGTCTGTGGGAGTCTGATAAACCAGTGAGCTATAAGAAGCCTGAAACCAAGAAACAAAAGCTACCATTAAATGCAAATGTTCTACCTGCACCATGTCACATATTCCAACTCTTTCATAAACACACTTCTGAAATCTCACTCACTGAAACATTCTCTCAGAAGACACTCCAACCCTCCTAGAATTTTTTTTTAAAACAGATATCCAAGTAACAAAATTCATTTCCCAATGAAATTCATAAGCTTTCTACATTTCCTAAAGCTGCTAAAAAAGTTGTTTGAAAGGTACTGGATGTACAGTGATAAAATTCAGACTTGAGTGAAACTGAAAGCAAAATTAAATTATTAAATTTTAATTAAATATTAATTAAATATTAATTAATATTTAATTAAATTATTAAATTAATTAATATTTAATATTAATTAAATAAATTAATATTTAATTAAATATTTATTTATTTATTTATAAATTAAATATTTAATATTAATTAAATAAATTAATATTTAATTAAATAAACTATTAAATTTAATCATCTGTGGGAAGAAACCAGAAAATAAGTTTACAGTGTGATAAAGGAGATTAGCCAACTTTACCTGAAAGTGTAAATCTCTTCCAGCCCTCCTCCTTCATCCAAAGCACACATCAATTTCTTTACCACACGGATTCCTCCTTTCTGTTGCTCCGTTATCCCCTCTCTTGCAAAAGAGTTTTTGTGAAAATGAGAATGTGCACCAATATCTCCACCTCCATCATCAGCATCCACTGGAAATGGCAGGCTAAGATCACAAGAAGCAGCAGTTACTTATTTATCTTCTGAACTAAGATAACTCAAAATGAATCAAGAACTGTATCAGGAGTCCCTCTTTATACATTTAGCTAGAGTCAGATGTACACAGAGCCACACAGCTTGCAAAAAACACAAAGCAATCCTTAGGTCTGCGCGGCATTTGCAATGGCTTGGCTAGTGTATTGCACAAGTATCACACTTCAGCAGAACATGCACCTCCCAAAAGGAGTTAGGAAACAACTACATAAAAGCTGTTGTGGAAGAGGAGGCAACAGTCTGTTCTTCGTATTAAGCCTTCCCTCAAAATCCATCATGAAGGACTAAGGTAAAATAYAGGTAAGGACTGATATAAGCAGTTCCAACTATAATCTCAGGAACACGCTGCCTGAGGAGATGGAAGAGTCTCCATCACTGGAGACATTTACAAAAATATTAAGACAAATACTGTTCTGAAGTGACATACACAGAGCTGGCACAGGCGGAGGCAGGGAGCTGGTTTAGGTGACCCATCAAAGGCCTTTCCAGGCCTGGCATTCCAGGTCAGCTCTAAATGCCACAGAGGTCTTTCTCTGCAACAGGACTATTAAATAGTTCTGGAATATTGTTGCTCTTTATGGGATTTTAGTAACTTACAACACTAGGTTAGTTTCTGTTCAAAAATGACATTTTTCCTGTATTTTAAGAATAAGAACAAAAAATGTAGCCAGGATTTGCAGACAACACAATTTTGCTGCTCTTCCAATTATAACTGTGAGTTAACTAAGCACAATAGTCACAGAAGAGAAAGCAGCACGTGACTCTGCTCCGTTCCCCTGACTACGCCTGGAGATTCTCAGCTCTTTTGTCTGATCCAGACCATCCAGATGCTTCAAAAACCACATTTTAAGAAAGTAAAAGGATTCTAGCACTGCACTAAGTGGTCAAAAAAGTAACCTACGTTTTATTCAGCTTACTTTTACCTTATTAGTCCATACTAAATTTTTATCTATGGAACAACATATAATAAGCAGAGGTAACAATGCATAAAGCACATAGGAAAACTGTATTCTAAAGCCAGTATAGAAGCAAAAAGCTTCAAACTCCTGATTCACAGAAGTTGGACTATTTTCATTACATACTGCTCAGAAACTACTGGAACAGGAGCTGTGTAATGACCAAAGCCACACAGTGCTCACTGTGTGCTTCACACTCTGCAGCAGGRAAGAAGACCAACTGCCTGCCACAAGATACAACCTGATCAATAACCAGGGCATGAGAACTGAAAAACAGGTTRTAACAGAAAAATATGGTTTAGCAAGAAATGATTTTTAACCAGCATCCCAAGAAATGTGTATTTGTATAGGCATTTTTCAAAGCAGTATTTGTTTATGCAGATTGGGAGGCAGGGTGTAAAACCATAGCTGACACTAACAACAACATTTCCCTAGTGCTTACAGTAGCCACAGGGATTTTCCAGTGCTATGTTGTAGGCAGAGAAAAAAAAATGAAAAGATGCATCAGGAGTCTCACAGGACCCTCAACGCAACACAAACTTGTGATGGTAGCATCTGTGCTAGTCAGCACAACAAACCTGTGTGGAGACAAGGTAGCAGGAGCTTTAAGCTGCACTAGCTATCAGAGCAGATAGCAAGTCTCCAAGATACACATACTCTGGCTGACAGCACACAGGCAGGCTCATGGTGTTGCGTTTCTGCTGCCAACATACCAACAATAGCTCAAATCAACTCGATGGGACGTGCCAAAGCTCCTTTCGAGCACACCTCCTTTTGCTTCATGCAGAACATGAGAATAACCTGACATTTTTTACATTCACCCTCTCAAGCACAGAAGACTTTATGTGGAAGATCCACTCAGGATATTCACACAGATGATTCCCATCTACCTTTTCCCTTAGACAACCTTTTCTCTATGCTCATATATAGGTTATTATATCCTTATCTAAGGAGATGGCAGTCATCATGCAGACATATGAACAAATTTAATAAAATTCAGTGTTGCTCCCCATAAAATGTTGGACTCTGACAATAAGCACTAAAAAGGTCAAAGACAAAACAAAAATTTTTATTTTTTTCCAAGCAACAGTTAATAGATTCTGATATCACTACTGATTCCTTTGATCAGTACCTATATTAAGATAAACAAGGGATTCTGGTCATAGCGCTCAAGATACTGATTCCATCTGTTGGTCCTGCCCATCATTGGGAACATAACCTCCTCCTCRCTTCCCTCGACACCACATATATACACACACAGCACATATATACACACATATCTGCTGCACCACTTCGTATCTCTTGTATCTAAAATAGTCTAGACTGTTGCCATGACAGGACCACTGCTTCTCAAGATTTTTGCCTCATCATTCCCCGTTTTTCTACTGGTATAAAAAATTTGCTTCCCATTACAAACTTGGGAAGTAAGCTGTAAATATAACTAGAGAAGAAATCATTATTTTTAATGTGTACTGCTACATTACTTAAACAAGGAGACTTGGTTCCAAGCTTAAACTCACACACTATGTAATCCATATAATATCATATATCCATATAATTACTTAGAACAATCATCTTACATATTGCTAATTCTCTATAGAAACATCACCAACGCTTCAGTCGGTCCATTAAGATGGCTATTAAAGACAGAATGATTTCCCTTTGAAAATGGGAGCACTTAACAACCACTTCTGTACTTACAAGAACTGAAGCAGAATTCCCGTTTTCTTCAAGTTAGCAACGATAATTTCCAGCTGATCCTCACTGACAGGACTGCTGAGGTCTGTAAACATTTCAATGTGTACCTTCTCATATTTTTTTCCTCTTAAAAGAACAAGAGAATATTTTTATARGCATGTGTATACATAAACCAAAAATATAATGTTTTAATTCTTTACTCACAAAAAGTTTGAAATAAACTTCTAACAAAGAACAACAAAAGAACATTCCTTTTAAATATGATTGAATTACATCTGGTAAAGTTGCTCTTACTACTACTGAATTTTTTTTTTTTTTTTTATATTCCTTTCACATACACACATTCCACTCAAATTTAGGTACATAGTCCTATGATCAGATAAATTAACTACATCAAAGCAAGTGGCATCATCTCAGTTTTCCTCAATGTAGATCTAATGCTATTGAAACATATTAGTTTGTTTATGTATTATACTGAATGTTCTGTCCCTGTGAAAGTTGGATGTATTTTAAACATCAGTTTAAACACTTTATAAGTCTTTCAAGACTTATAAATTCACACTCACTTATAAATTCAATTCACAAGGCACTTCTAAAAGTTCAATTGGCATAGTTTTCCATCCAGAACAGCCTTTATTCATAAAACACAAGCTTGCATCACTGAGTCCACTCCTTAGCAATCTTATTTASACCACATAATCTTTTCCAAGGGTGCTCAATCTTCACTTTAAGAATTAAGCTTCTTTCCCTTGCTCTGCATTCCTATTGGAACACCAAYACACTAATTGTTAGAAAACATATTTTTCACACTCTAAGTATATTAATAGATAACTTTATAATGCTTGATCGTGTCAAAATTATTCATTGTCTTGAACAGTTTTTTCCTATTACATATTTTCTCCCCGTCCTGTATATTTACACTCCAACATCYATTTCCAGCAGCCTTTATTTTACCAAGCTGAAGAAACCCAGGCTTTCGAAGGTTTGTTTTTTACAACGTGCTATTACTGCGATAAATTTAACATTTTTCTACACCTGTTACCATATGAATTAACATTTCTTGAGAAKAGATAGCAAGAAAGATGATACTATTTTAAGTAAATTTTTCTTGGCTTATACAATGACATTAATATTCACATATCTACTGCAAAATCCTGAGTTGAATCAGAAAGATCTTAAATTACCTAGGAAAGCTAAACTGCTCTTGAAGAGTCTTCAGAGACAGAATCATGTAGTGATTTTGTTTTTACATTATCTTCCATATTTACACAATTCTGCAGTATTGACAAGAAGTCAGATCAGCTCTGATGCTTGAGTTCAGAATTCTGCTGAAGATTGCAGGTTTCATACTTACATTGTTTCCCTCTGAAGCAAGTCCATGCATACAATAATTGCATCTAGAACTGAGTAAATTAAGAAAAGTCTCATTTAAAACATGAATCATGTCACCAAGTGACACATTCTTCTAATTTCACATCCCTAGAGAAAAATATAAGTGTATTTAGGTTTAACAAGTAAGCAGACAATTTTTGAACAGAGTATTCTTTAAGTACCTACTATGCAAGAGGTCCYTATATAGTGTGCTTATCTTAGGATCTTTTCCCCATTTATTTGATGGGGAAAAATAAAAGACTCTTTCAGGGCCTGATCCTTTAGCTGTCCATGACAGGCTTGAGAAGACCAATGAAAGAAAAGTCAAATATTTGCAATTATAATCTTATTTGATATCTACAAACAAAATTTATTTTGATTTTCAATACAAAGTATCCTTTGTAAGTGTTAATATTCCTTTAAAATAGCTGATTGCATCTCCTGATCATTTCCTTCTCAGAATAATTTTCAATGCAAATAAGTTTTTATCATCATGTTCAATCAAAAAAGATTATGACATTATTTATGATAACATGCAATTGATTGGCTGTTGGCTTCTCTGAAAGYGCTCTGACATTCTGAACAGAACCTATTCTGTTCACACTGGGGGGAGGAAAAAAAGTTAATGTCTTCACAGAAAGAGGAAAGACAACAGGAAAACTGGAACATTTTTTAAATAAAACTTACAAAGGAAGACTCTTTAGATAGCCTTATTTTGAAACTCTACATCTCGTACAGTTAACTACAGAATAAGCTATTTAAATTAATAAATGATACTTGATTACATTAGAAATACTTCATAGCAAAAAAACTCTGCCTACTCTCCAGTGTATTCTGCTCTGTCTGGCTTCTAATACTTCTGCTGACATAAGATATATATTTTGTCAATAACAGTTTTATTTAATGAAAAAGTATGCTGCACTGAGCTCTGCAACACTATATTTAACACATATACCTTATTTGCGGCCTATAACTGTATTATTACTATCTTTTTTTTCTCCTCTCTAATTAATAGAGCACTCAAAAGAGCAACAATTCCCTGAGGCGAAGGCTCCATCTGCTACCTTAAAAGAACGTCAAAAAGCAGCTAATCTGGTTTTGAACTAATTTACAGCATCAAATTAGCTGCATGTTGTCTGTGGCTACAACTTCACTGGTAAGTCCAGGCCTATTTCACAACGGTGCTTCCTGTCTTCCCCGGAGCAGAAGCAGTTTAAGCAGTGATCTTGGACAAAAAGGATACAGTCGGCTTGTTCAGAGCCTGGTTGAATCACAGTTTGAATATCCTCCAGCAAATCAAAGTCTGGCAGCATCAGTGATCTGTGTACAGTAATGTTCTGATATTGATCCCCACTAGCAAGGACATTCCTAGTACCATCTGTGCCAAACAAAACTACAGCGACTTCATCTTTACTTTCAGCAAAAACCTAGRAAAAGGAAAATAGAAAACAGAGATAAAAACACAGATAGATCCATACATACCTACGTCAGATAAACAAGAAAGTGAAACAATTCTGCAATGGAGGGGGAGTTACAGTGTATTAACTTTGCAGTGATATCAAAAATATAATCCTACCAAAATGTCATCATACACAGAGCTCGTTTGCTCAGATATCAAATTAAAAAGACTTTCAATTTCAAAACATGAGGATATCTGAGGTACAGCAAATACAACTGGCTGACTTATTTCTCCAAATGTCTTCAGTACAGTCAATCTTATGAATGCTGAAAAAAACCTGGGGAAAGGAAAAAAAATTCTTCTTTTTTCCTGAAAACTTCTTCAGGCCTAAAAAAAAAAGAGTGGCCAATCAATACATAAGATCTCATCCACACAACTATAGCCGAAATTATGTACAGCTGTTATTCCTGCATGAAAAGTAACTTCTTACCTCTCATTTGCTTCAGTTATTAAGAAAAATGGAAAATACTTCACAAATATATGTGAAGTATAATGTTTCCTTCCCACTTTTACAAGTGTTTAAAAAAATAAAGTCACAAGTACCTGTCGCTGCACAAACTTTGTCATAACCTTTTTGGCTTGTTCCAGTGGAGACTCCTCTCCAGGAGCAGCATTGTCCATTGTAAGGCCCACATCCAGACACAGCACTACAGCTGCCTAAAAAGGAGATACAATATTTGATAAGAACATGAAAGGGCCAAGGGAAGCATAATTACCTAAAGGATTTGGTTACGATCTACAGCATGTTTACACATACAGTGACTTGCCCATTTAACTAGTTTTATTAAGCTCATCTGAATTTTATTTTCACAGGCTCTGCTAATCTTAATAGACCTCAGTAACTGCATCATTGAAACAAATAAAAGTCAGAAGGGAAACTTTTGCTTTACAACTGCAATGACAAAGAGTCAGTTTACATTTGTAGTCATTAACTTAAGCATTTTTTAAATACATATCAGTATTTTTTCTTGTGGAGAGCAAGTAGCATAAATCACATTGCTAAAACCAGGGCATTAAAACAGAAAATTAAGAGAAATAAAACAAGCATTGCAGTCTTCTTTTCAGAGGAGTAACTGCATTTTACTCAGCTACATTTCTTCTCCAGAACGCAGTTAAAAATAAATAAATAAAAAATAATAAAATAAAAAACACACTTTTTGTACAGARCTCCAAGATCCTCAACTGGAAACAACAGTGATCTCCTGCTTTTCCTTTCAAATAACACTACGCAATTTTTTAAGTACCAGCATGAGCTTTCTAAAATCAGTAGCTAGCAATAAACGAAATAACGAGACCTATTCAACCACGTGTACAGCACCAACCTTAAGGCAGAGCAGTGCAGCACTTCGCTAACGCATTCTCAACRTGTGTTAGGAAAGGAATGAGGAGGGCAGGCCCAGGGCTGGCTCCTTGCCGGCGGGGCATCAGCCAGCACTCAGGCAGGCGCAGCTGGGCACCACCAAGCACAGCAGAGCCCAAGAAGAGCCCTGCTGAACCCCTCTGTTACAATTTTCACAGCAGTGGGTCTTGAAGGGGGTATTACCAAGACGTGCTCTTCCTCGAGTAGCTCCTCAGCTATCACAACTGCTTAATGGGACAAATCCCTCTAGTGAAGATAGCCATGAGAGTATTTTGGCCAAGCTCTTTTAGGAAGTCTCATTCAGGCTAAGGAGAACATCTTCTCCATAAGCCGAACATCTTCTCCATGTGTTCTGGGAACTTCTGAGAACACGAGGCACAAGAGGCCCAGGACACAGCCAGGACAGCATCTTAGTCTSCAACAAGCCCAATGCTGCGAACACCCTAAACGTCTCGGTACCGGAAAGGCCCTGATACATGTTATTARCGCTTCCGCCAGCGGCACTGCTCGCACACACCAAACAACCGACGTTACAACCGACTGCAGGTGCGCCGCACCCACACCCGCCCCTACGGCACCGGCTGCGCCCAGGCGGCCGCAGCCAAGGGCGCGGCGGGACCTCGGGCGCGGCGGGGCCCGGCGCCCTCGCGGCACGGACGGGCCCACCGAGCCCGCCCCGGCCCGGGGCGCCCCGCGACCGTTAGGGACCGCCCCGCCCACGCAGCCCCGGCGGCGGCGCGGAGGCTGCCGGGATCCCGGGAGCCCCCCCCCCCAACTCCCCACTCCTCCCGCCCTCACCTTGCCGCCGCTCCGCGCCATCGCGCTCGTGCCGGGTGCGCCGCGCTCAAGGCTCCGGCCGGCAGCACGACCCGCTTTCCCCAGGTACCGGCGCGACGGCGCCGCGCGTTCCGCTGAAGAGGCGGCGGGGAGTGGGCGGGGCGGCGCCACCTCGCGGCCGGACGCGGCGCAGCGAAGCGGGTGGGGCTGAGGGCGGGGCGAAGGGGAGGGGCGAAGGGGCGGGGAAAGGGGCGGAGATAAGGGGCGGGGCTGAGATGGGCCGGCCCCTCCCTTCCCGCCGCCTCCTCGGGCCGTTGGGGCCGTTACGGGGCTGCGCGGCGGGACCGGCTGGGCCGCGCTCAGCCCGGGGTTCCCGCTCAGACCAGCTCCCCGCCCACTTCGTTGTTCGGTTATTTGTTCATTCGTTCGTTTATTTATTCGTATTGGCGCAGTTGCAGCATTCTCACAGCGTTACCTGAGGGAATCACTCGGCCAAATTGTATCCAAGCTCTTGGGCAGAACTGAAGCCTGCAGCTTAAATAAAGTCCAAATACAGATTCTTTTTCCTCATATTTCTTGGTAACTGCTGGATATTGAATCAGCAGCAGGGTTTACCACATACTTCACCACATGGATTGAATGCTGCTACTTCTGTCTTACCTTACCCGTATCCTTCAGCAATAGCGTTCCTAGCGTGCCTTTTATCTTCTGTGTATTTAACAAAACATGTTATTATCTTTAATTCTGAAATATCATTCTGGAAATAGGGTGAAAAGTGCTGATACCAGTATACCTGGCTGAAGTGAAAGAGTAAACATCTCACACAAAAAGTATCAGGAACCTTTTACCACCTCACTGACCTACCAACACTTCTCTTTTTTCAAGAGAAATCACTTGTCTTTTTTTCAATCAAGCAGTGCCTGGAGACAAAATCCCCTTTCCCCTATCCCAGATCACCCTGTTTTGGGGATGTTACTGATCAAGCGATGCTCCTTTGGTGGCCTTTGGCACATAAAGGAAACAGAGCAACTTGGCAGTGTGAGGAATATTTTATGGGAAAGCTGGAGACGGGAAAAGCTGTCAGCAACTCCAGGAGAGAGATGAATCTAACTCTAAGGGGATTTCAGATTAATCAACCAAGGCAATCAGGTCTGCCTATTTCTATAATCACAAAGGTTGTCTTAGTGCTTGTCACAGACTAACAGGCCAGTCATACAACCTCACGTCCCGACACGTGTCTGACATGGAGCTTGCAGTCTAGATGCCAATGAGATACACACAGATACGTAAGGGAAAGTAAGGAGAAAAGAGAATTGATCAACCTTGCCTTTCACATAACAGCAATAAGGCATTTTTTTTCCAAAGTATCATAATCAATTAATTTATTTTTATTTTTAACTATTTTATGCCAGAGTTGGAGAGTAAAAACCCAGCCCTGACTGCTGGCACAGAGTATGGACCAAACCTTTCACAGCCCTCCCAGAAATCTAGGTTTAACACAAAAACTGAGCCTCGGGCTTTGGTCCAAAATCTCACAGCCAGAGCCTTAATTGCAAACGCTACCCACAGAGGCCTGATGTGGGCATCCGCTAGGAGCCTCTGCTCTGCTTTGTGGGAAGGTTAATGTGCCTGGCCCAGGTACAGCCTTCTGTTCCCTTACAGGGCCTGAGAAAAACTAATGAAACCATGAAACGCCATCTGTGATCTTCCTATGCTTTAGCTCTAGCCTGCCGTAAATGGAGTCTTACAATTCTCTTGCTGAAATACAAATACAATAAACCTAAATGTTCCCCTGTCACACCTCCACGCTGCCAGATTTCCCCAGCTATTTCCAATACTCAAAAGGAAAACTGGCTGATCATTTCTGAAACCAAACTTTAATCTCCATTTCTTTTACCCTTGCAAGTCCGCACAGGGCTCCCTTGTAGGTAGTCGTCAGATTTGATTAATGAGCTGCATCTGGGGACACCAGGGCTTTGTTAGCCTGGATTAAGGCTAGAAGATCTTTCCTTATAAATGCTTGCCAAAAGATGCTTGTGATTAATTGGCAATTTCCATTTTACAGAATACTAATCTCTGGGTATAAATAAGTGAAATCTCYTTAGATTTAGCTTTTCAGGGTGATCAGCTGTAACCTCCTGTGCAACAAAGCGAGTCAGACCTTAGCCCCAGTCAGGTTTTTCCCTCATTTCTCTGCTTACTCCTTTTTTTAGCTACTTTTATTCTCCACCTCAAACCTAAGCCTGGGTTGAATGAGAGCAATCTGGGGACAACAGCTATGAGGAGCCTGCTTTGTGTTGAACTTGATTCAACGCCTTTACAAGACGGCAAGGAAAATGGCTTCGCTGTTTTGTTACAAGGAGGAATGTATTATCCAGAGAGTTGCAGCTGGGACCCAGCTGCTTCTGGCAGCTCTCAGCGCATGTGAATGGCTTCAGTGTAAAAGCAAAAAGGCCACTTTGCCTTTCCCTCCCTTGGAGCAATTGCTTGCAGGGTACATTTTTGGATAAATGCCTGGTGGAAAGTGGAATGGACACTGTGACAGCAACCGGCTTTGTATTTATACTAATACAAGCTTGGCAAAAGCTGAAAGACAAAGTAAACAGGGAATTGGCACCCAAAGCAAAGCCGAGCTTAGGAACGCATCTGTTAGCGTCTTCCTGCACTGGGCTCCATGCAGTAGCACAAGGTTGCACAGTTGTCTTCTCCCAGGAGAGCTTTCCAAGCACCTGCTTGCAAGCACAAGCCAAAACTGTGCGGCAGACCAACAAAAGTATTTMTTATTTGTGTAGTGATTCCTGGTGGTCCTCCCAGGAGATGCAAGTCTAACACACTGTCTCTGCCTAGCTGCTTCTGTGGAATACACCTGGAGAAAGATCTCAAAAACTGATACTCTGGTTTCACTCTGTAAAACAAAACTGGTCCTGAGGATCAGCTGTGATCCTGCTGCAAGTCCTCTGGATTCATCCGCGGGCTGGATATGACTCATAAATACTAGGTATATCACAAAAAYATGCCTTTAAAGAAATGGTAAAAAGTATGTGTATTTTCCTATGTTTTGTGGGATTTAGCAGTTCCCATCTGGTGGTGGTGTCCCTGCCCAGTCTACTCTCCTTTCAGCTCGTGCAATGAAAGCAAATGACTGTTCTTAGAAATACATGGAAAATATTGTACTAAGAGTATTTAGCAAAGCTAAGTAGGAAGGGTTATGCCACACTATCCAACCTCACTGGAAAATGTAGAAGAAAAACATAAAGAGGAGCATTAAGAGACATATTGATTCAGAGTGTGTCATGACAGAGGCAGTTGATGGCCTCGCGGACAGGCAGGTGGATGGCTCGCTGCTGGTACACCAGCTGTGTCAAAGCAGCACATGCACCAGTCCTAGCCCCACACCACCACAGAAGGGTCAGCAAGACTTTGGGAAAAGCTCCACAAATCCATCTGGAATAAAGCTGAGACACTGTGAGGTCCTGGTGTGCAGAGTTCCCCTTTCAAAATACAGCGTTACCATCTCTTTTCCTCCTCACTGTCCTCTCCCACGGCTCTTAATTTCCCTGTTATTTTCTGAAGAGCTACGAAAAGTTCAATTTACTTGTTATACTGTCCTCAATGAACTGGAAGGGGGCATAAACAGTTTATAACTCCTTAAACATCTTTGCTTTCCTCTCTTAGGCCTGTTTTTAAAAGCAGGTGCTGTGTTTGTGCTTTTCTGATCTCTCTAATCCCTCCTGTGTTTTCAAGGAAAATCATTATTGCTGCTGAGGCTGCTTTAGCGTGCTTCCCGTTTGCATTGGCTGAAATTCGCTTGGCTCAGGTGCTGAAAGTACCAAACACTCACAAGTGCTCATGAAAAGRGCTTTGCTTGCCACAGAAAATACCTTAGCATGCTAAATATTACCAAAAATCAGCTGCAAGACATTTCAAAGGGGCATTGAGACTTAGTGCATGTTTCTCGGTTTTAAAGTCCTTTGCTTCTGTTACCACGTGTTTGCTCAGGGACATCAACATTTATGTCACATGCTGTTGAAAAAATAAAGATATTATGAAGCACTTAGATGCTGGAGTGACGTATGTCATTGGGGGACTGCTTAGAATAATCTGTGGTAAGGTGGCTTTTGGACACACTTTGAATGATCAGTGGTAAAGCAAAAGACTGAAGTGGCTGCTTAGTAAACACTTTCCTGTGTCCCCAGTAAAATAGCTTGGCACACCAGGGAAAAATACCATGTACTGCCATGATTAAAGGTGGCTTCAGAATGAATACCTGTAACGTATGGAGGGACAGGTAATTTTATAGCGGTGTTTAAAATTGGCATGATGTGACTTCTTAGGATTTCTTCACGCTCCAACAGTTCTTTTAGATGCCTTTTTGAAACAGAAAATAAAAATAAAAATTTACAATGGGCATTTCCTCCCAATTCGCATTTCAGCCACTGGATGGCAACATGATCACAGGCACCCGGGGAGATGAGGCACCACGGCCTGCAGAGCTAGGCAGTGTGCACCCCGCGAGCACCAAATTCAGCAAAGAAATTTCTGCATAAAGGTAGGACAGAAATCAAACAATAGCAACAAATATTTTTGTTCTATTTATATTTTTACACTGCTCTTCTTTGGAATCTACCTTTTTGGAAGGTAGATTTTTGAAATTCTTTCTGCATCTACAATTTATTTATCTGGATTTCTGCTTAGGGTGATGTTTTCCTGAGCTCTAAATCCCTGGATTAGCCAAAGGATTGCTGAGGGAGACTATGAGAGGCCCACTTGTCCTGGTATCATGAGCAGTGAAATATTTCCCATCGTTAAGTAACTGAAAACTGGACCCATGTTTTTACTCTTGAAATAACTAGCAAATTTTCTGGATTAGCTTTTAAGTATGTTATGACAGATGATTACTTTGCTATCAGCAGTTTAGGGTGTGATTTTCTTTATAACTTATAGAAATGATTTAGTCAGATTGAACTGCAGAGTACTGGGGTTCTGGAAAGCACCTGAGAATTCCTGTTAGATTGGGTTGTTTCTGGAATAGTAAAAATCCAGCAGAAGTGCATCAGACAGAGAATACGAAAGAAATTAAATTTTCGTCAAGTTAAAAACACAGAACTGACACCAGTGAAAGGAAATGGCACCAGACAACCCAGGGGAAACCCCCAGATACACTGTAGAACAGAACAAAACAGAACAACATTTAGACCAGAAGTCTCATATCAGCGACTRCTGTTTCAGACTGAACTATCTCAGAAGCAAAATCTTGTCTGTCTTGTTCTCCACACGCTCTTAGTTTCACAATCTTAATCTTCCTACACTCCATGCAATCAGTTGTGTTTCTGCCATTAGGAATCCAGCCTAATGGATTCCCAGTTTCTCTCTCTGGAGACTGCTCTCATGCAGTGGGTTGTTCTGGATAACACATCAACGATAACTCGCTCTGTGAAGCATTTGCTTTGTGGATGCATAAATGTGAGCCTTTCGTAGCCTTTCCAGCCTCCCCCAGCAGCAGCACATGTGCACGAATGCACTCACACACTCGGGCTGTGGTGCAGTTTAATCCTCATAACACAGGGATTTGTTCGTTATCCATGAAACTGGCCGGCAGGAAGGGCCAGGGAGAGTCTGCGTCCGAGCAGCCCTCAGCTGCTGCCTGAGGCCTTTTCCAAGCAGGAAGTGAGGATCCCATTTTAAAACCCCTTTTGTCTGTCTGAACGTGGGAGCAGACTGAAATAAAGCTGAAAATGTGGAAGTTTGTATGTAAAAAAAAAAATTAATACAATCTACTGTAATGCAGTCTTGAGTGGCGCATTGTATGGAGAACAGAGCATCATTTTTTGAATCTTTTAATTTGTGAGCTCTGAGTTTGTACAGCTTGGGCTGTGGGGTTACAAAGCAGCAGTGTGAAGAAGAGAGCCCAGAGCTGCTGTTCAAGCAGGAAAGATGAATTGCTTAAGTTTGGTTTTACTTACATAAATTACTGTAAATCATGTCACTATCAGATATGTGGCAGTGTCAAATGAACAAGGTGCAGCRGAAGAGTAATTTAGCTTTTTCCTTGTCAGTTACTTTTTCCTGGAATTTCTTGGCAGAGGGGAGGAAATAGGCAGGATGACAAATGCTGATTTCTTTTTCTTTTTTTTTGCTAGACAAGGCGGATTACATAATGTTCTATTGAAATAAATGCCAAACATAGCCATCAAAAGAGACGTGATTTTAGAGGGAAACTGGAGCCTCAGCAATCCTGTTGTCATTGCCAGGCTGGGTGAARTTACAACCACCAAGTGAAACTCTTGTCTTAGGGACTGTTTAAATACCAGAATTCATGGCTGCAGCAGTGTGTTATTGCACTCACTCTTTCGCTCTGARGGATTCACTAACTGTTATTGGTTTTGGTCACTGAAGAGTAACTATTAACATATATTAGGTGACACCTGAGACGCCATTTAGGAATGACACTACATGTGCTTTGGGATGATATGACCTACTATACTGCATTTTTTCTTCCTTTCTACTACACAGAAATACTCAGACTTCTGCTCATTTCTGAAGTCACAGGGAAGCTTGTTTGAATAAATTAGTGAAAAATTACGAGTGTTCTGTGCACAATTTTTTATGGCTAAGTTGTTACAGAAAATCCTTATTATGATGGAAGGACACGGTAGTAATTGCCTGGAATTATATGGACATCTTACTATAAATATATTTTTAAAAATCAGAAGCTGACAGTTTCATAGTCTAGGCAAAGTAATAGGCATTAAAAAGAAAGACATCTGGCCTGACTACCCCAGAAACTGTTGGGTTTGTGCCCAGCATTGACACTGTAAGAGTCAGTTTACTCGCAAAAGTTGAGGTTGTTAGAAGCCCAACTGCAGGTGATTGAGACAACTGGCCTAGAACAAGTGAATGTACATGTGTGTTATATCATAGTGAGTAAATTGTCTATTATTTTGTAATAGAGATAATAGACTCTTCCAACTTATCACTGTAGCAGTAAAAGGAATTCGGCAAATGTATGGAGATAGTCAAATGTGCCTCCAGATATATTGGTTTTAATATGCATTACTAATGGRGAAACTTACAATAAACCAAACCCTGAGGGAACATTTTGCCTAGGAGGAGGGTTTTATCCTATTTGCCAGGGAGAGCATGTTACTGAATTCAGTAGTTATCTCTTTTTGCCTTGTGAACTTAAGCTTCTAGGTGAAAATAAATGCTTGGAAAATGCAGCCCTGAAGAGATTACATTTGGGCAGAAATCGTGTGTAGCTTAGAGGACTCTAGACCAAATTCATGCAGGGCATACCAAATTTCACTGCACGCAAACCTCAAAAGAGATTTTAGTTTTAGTAGAGATTTAGTAGAGTTTTAGTAGAGATTTAGCTGTTTTTAATGACAGTTTTGTGTTTTAGCTCACTAAAAACAAGACCATTTATAACCAACATTGCTGGCATGACTCAGACTTTCCCTTTATTGTAATGCATTCTGACAGACTTCAAGTACACAATGTAATGGCAAGAAATTAGGGAGTCTGAAAGTTATTGGACCTGGTTGGCCAAGGGGGATCAGTGAGAGGCCCTGAAGCCTTTTTTCTCTGGGCTGCCTGTTCAAATGCAATCACASTTGTACAGTTACCTGAAATGGTGCTAAGGGAGCTTTTGAACCCCTGGCACATAAACCCATAAACCCTCCCTCCTCCTGAAGTGGCTGCCCRTTAGAACCAGCTTTCCTGGTTAATGCAGACAAGACTTCATGTACGTGACGATGCTAATTCACCAAATTAATCGAAAAGTTACCTTTCCGAGTGGATTAGCCCTCTTTTATGGGCAGTCTTATTTGGAACAGATCTGAGTTTGCTTCAGCCTCTCTCATTTCCTTGCAAGTTCACAGTCCCACCCAGGGAATGTTTTCAAATGGACTATCTAACTTTTGGAATGAATCTCCCACATCAACATATCTTTGGACAGAGGCAGAAAGGGCACTAGCACCACGGACAATTCACTGCCTGGGAGGAAAAGGTCTTCGTAAGCTCKGAGCAACATGGTGTCCATGAGAGGTCCAAGACAGGAGCTGTCCATTCTCATTGTCTTGTCTCTCTTTAAATGTTGGTGTAAATACGTGCCTCAGCCTGCAAAAGTGCCTCGGAGGGGTTGTGGTTGTGTTCACTTATTGGCTGCAGTTTCCACAGGGAAAAATGTGGCTACATGGGATCTATGGAGCAGCCCTTGCAGCCCCCAAAGAATCCCGGCCTCAGGATTCAAATCACAGGTGTGACAGCTTCAAAGAGTGGATTTAAGAGACTAACTGTGATCAAAGGCAGAGTTACTTCTGTGACTCTTTCAGTTCTTGAAGAAATGGGATGGTAAGTAAGAGGCAGAATTAGAACTCTCTCTTCTCCCTGGAGAAATACGTGGTGAAGTCAGAGAGGCATATTTTACTCGGCACAAAGGTCTTCAAGCCCATGCGTCACCTTCCTGTGAACTATGATATGATAAAATTGTAGCCATTTCCTAAAAGGTGAGAACTCCAAAGCCAATGATTTAATTCTCTTGGTCCATTACCTCCCATCACACCAAGAAGCTTAATATCCTTAGCCAGTCTCTTAACTGGATGTATGAATTCCATATTATACAACTGTTATGCAAGAAATACTATTCCTTGGTAGTGTTTTGCAGCAGGTATCACACCAAGAGCACAGCTGTGCATAGGAAAACCAAGCCAAAGACATACAGACATATCTGTAGAGTTAAGGGCACTTCTTATTTTGGTATGGAATTGTATCCCTCCCTACAGATTCTGCAGGCTAAAAGGCAAACAGATACCCAATGAAGGAAATGAAATCAAAGAGCATTAATTTGTGTGCTATAAGGAAAACACAATGAAGAACACAACACTTCCTTGATGAAGAACCCATCATGCAATGAAGAACCGGCATATGGTTACCTTATGCTTACCATAAGGTAAACACAGTGAAGGTCTAAGAACTCCAGACCTTAGAGATACAYAGAGACAGTTCCGTCTGGGCACAGGTTAGCAAAAGATAAAAGTAAGGACCATTTCATACGCACCACAAGCTGGGTCTCCAAGGAGGGTTGATGTGTAATCAGTTATCAGCAGAGAATGACACTGTCTATCTCACAGCATTGTGTTTAGCAAAAAGTCAAGCAGAAGCAGGACAGCAACTCTCTTCTGAAGCCAGATACATCTTTATTCTCCACCCAGGCCAGCAAGGATGGGAAGAGGGAATGCAGTTAAAAATAACAATCAGCAAACACACACTGCCTTTTCTTGATAAAAACCTCAGAACATTCAAACTAGAGCAGCCAGAAACACACTCAACAATCAGAATTAGTACAATTCCCTGCAGTTTGACAATGGCACATAMGCAGAAATTATACGTGAATTCTGAAAGCAAGGGTAAAACAAGACAAAACCTTGTGCTTTTTCCTATTACAGCAAGTGATTATGATCATATCTTGCAGCAGGCAAATAGCTGTAGGGAACAACAGGGAAGAGAGAAAGCTATCTAGAGTTATTTGGAGAAAAGATTATTATTATTATTATTATTATTATTACAAATAGCACCAGAATTAACCCAAAGCTCAAATCTGCCCCTACCAAAATTGATGGCAGAGCATCCTGACTTCAGCAGGAACAGAGGCCAGCTTGGTTAAGTGTAGAGAAGTAAAAAACATGATGGATGGTTCCAACACCTTCCCCAGAAGGTGACCTCCAAGCAGTTTCAGTCCTCGCAGAAGCACAGCTGCCATGGCAGGGGGGACACAGCAGGGAGAGGCACAGGTTTGGTTTTGTCTCTGATTGAGCAGGCTCTTCGCAATCCTGACAGCAAATCTTTAGCTCAGCAGGCATTTCCACGGCTGCATTCTGCAAATAGCTGGTATTTGTCTTTCGAATCTTCTGTATGCTAAAGACTCTTTGTGCTACTGGCTCCGGTCTTTCCTCTAGCTTGGCCAGCTGTAGCTGAATGGGGCTGGTCTCCCTCTGCAGTGATGCACTTGCCAGACATCCTTCCCCCAAACCCACTCATCTGCCTCATGTGGGTCCAAGGCACAGAGTCCCCTCCTTTCATGCCTGCTGCAGTCCTCTAGGCAAAGAGACAAGTCTTGCCAAGGGATCTTCCTTGCCAGCACTTTGTGGTGGCATTAACATTAACATGTAGTGGCACTAACATTAGCCTGTTAAGACTTCTTCCCACTCTCCAGGCTTGTGGGCACCTACCTCATCTCTTGCCTGGGGAGGAGATTAAGCAGAGCTGCTGCACTGCCAGAACTGGGGTTACTTATCATCTTCAGCCTCTCTATTAATTCAGAGGCAAACCAAACTCTCTGATTGAAATAGCCCTGTGAAAGGCATTTCTTTGCTTGAACTGGTTCCAGTGCACATCTTAGCTTTTTTGAACCCCACTGAATTATCTGCTATTGCCCAGAGGTTGGAATCTTCTTGTGAGCCACGGCCTTTAAAGCCTCAGCCAGTAAGCGAGGCCAATGCAGCAGAAAGGGGCAAACACAGCCCGGCCAGATCTGTGCCCAGGGGCACATCTGCATTGCCAGTGAAGTGTGAGCCAAGATATTCAACCTAAATACTGTCCACATTCTAAATTCTCAAACCAGAAGCTTTGGCAGCTTTGTCTGGACCTTCCAGAATGGGACAGACCAAACACGTAGCAGGGACTTTACTTACTGCTCAGTGTCAGGTCTAGAGCATCAGACAGATTTGTCCACACATCACAGGGCCCTAAATATCCAGGGACATCTGGACAGCCAGTCAGTGAAACCTTGAGGTCATCCTTGAAATGCAACACAAAGTTTGAGTTCCTGTGAAATGCAGTTTCTGCATGATCCTTTTTAGCATCCTCAAACTAAGGCAGCTCCCGCTCTGGTAGGGAGACTGGGAAGTGAAACACCTATATAGACATGAATGACTGCACACTATAAATTATCTACCTACATGCATGCAAATGGTGGGCCCTTCTAGGCTTGGGCAGAGCCAGACTTTCCAGCAGCACCAGCTGAACTAGAGTACTCAAAATCACGGAGGATTCAGATACTTGTAACCCAGTCCCAGTTACAGTCTATTACACATTTCTCTAAATCTACTCATGTGCCCTCCTTAGGCCCCAAACCCAATCCAGACAAAGAACTTTTTTTGCCTGTTATTTTTTAGACAACTAATATTTCTCCAGCCTATGGGGGACCACCTCGGCKTGTCTGGGAAGCCCGCTAAGATGCCATGCAAAGTTCCAAAATTGGAAAACCAATTACAAGACTGAGACCTGAGGAAATATAATCCATGCTCTTCCATGTAATTAACCATGAGAGATTTCCAGAGCTGAGACACTAAGATGGTTTGCACTTGCTGTAGCAAAAGCGGGCTCAGGGACTTCCCCAATGTGAAAGAACAATTCAGCATCTCTTCTATAAGGGCAACTTGAAAAATGACCATTGCAGTGAGATTCTCCAGTCCCAAGCACTGTCAAATCCACAACCCTAAACACACGTGCCACCAGTGCACATGTAAGTGGCAGTGACATTCAAACTGACCATCCCTTCTCAGGGCAGCTCTTTTGGATGCATATCGCAACTGGAGGCGCTCTTGCTGAAGACTCCCTTGTTGTTCTCTTGCTGAAGACTCCTAAAGGCCATTCCTTCCTAGAAGTGCACTTACCAAAAGATGCAATTCACGTACTTCCTAATCACATATAYGGGCACCTGCTGTAACCTGGGGTTCTTGGTGACATGTTTGCCACACGATCAAATTCTCATGTGTTGCTTTACAGAGCAAGCCCTAAACTTTGATSATGGGATAGAGGCATTTCAGGTCAGTGTATGTGTCAGGCTTCCATCAAGAGCTATACAGTTTTTGTCCACTGAAAGATGGGGCACTTCTTAGCCTGTTGTCTGTCCTTCAAACCCTGGCACTGTCTCAGCCTACCTGGAAGGGGTTGTTCACTTGTCTGAATGGTTGAAGAAGTTTTCCCAGCTGTAACCCCTTCTAGCAGGAAAACTGCAGGAATATCACACACAACTTAACCTGCAACTTAACCTGCACCTCTGTATGAATTCCTGTCTCCTAAAATTCACCTCCTGAGTACAGACTTCTTTCACTGGATCTATGGTTCACTGCTATCTTCCTTTTCCTAAGAGGACCTTTACAGAAGTGGGTTTTTCAGTATATATCCCTGCCAGCCCGCATGGAACCTCAGCCCCATGGACCTGGATTTTCTCACTATACTACAAAGCTGTAATTAGCTAAAACAGATGACAAGTCATTGGAGAGCCATGCACCTCCCCACCCAGACCACAAAGAGCTAGCACACTTGCATTCTGTGACATTTAAAGGGCACTCCGGGCCCAATATTTTATTTATTACGTTTTTGTTTAAATATATTTATATATAAAAATCAATTATTTTCTAGGTGAAAACCACTTGCTTATGACCAAAAGAGCCAGCCAGGACAAAGGCTCAGACTGCTGAAGTCTCAACCCCCTGCGCAGAGCTCTTGCCGGAGAGACTACCTGAGATATTGTCAGAATCCAGCAGCTCGACAAYGCTGTATGGAGAGCAATCCTCCAGRCCTAGCTTGCTGCAGAGCCAGCCACAGAAGCCCTTCTCCATATCCCTGACAGCACGCCACCAGTCCCCGAAGGACCAGGTCACCTGGGTCACAGCTGAGTACAGGCCTAGGGAAAAAGACAAGACCATGATTATGAATGGGTAGAAGATGATCAAAAAGGGGCAAAACGTGATTTTGTGCCAGAAGGTCCTCTCTTCGTTGTACACCAAAAAGATGTTGTACCATGTAATGGTTCCATAGTAGAATGAAACCACAAAGGACACTACAAAACTGATGGGGAGGCAGATAAGGGTCCAGAGGACGATGTGAGGGCCTCTGTCCAGCCCAACATCACATGTGTTTTTCTTCTCAGGTATGTCCTCTTTAGGAGGTTCCTTTGACTTTGCCAGTTCCTGCAGCTCTTTATCTGTTAGCGTTACATGGATGTCCACCATCTGACCCTTCTTCTTTCCCCTGGTGATTGTTCCAGTCAAGGTGACGTACCGGCTGTCCAAGGGCATACTCCAGACACCTGCAAACACAGAGAATCTCATCAACATTAGATATTTTTTCTCTTTTTTTTTTTTGGTGCAGCATATTTTCATAAATCACAAAGACCACAAACAGAATCAGACAGTACAGGGGGAGTTATATTGTATTTAGCAATACAAACAAACAAACAAGATGGGAYAGAGAAACATGCAGTATAAAGAAGATATCACATAAAAAAAAAAAAGACAAGCTAATAAGGGATAAGACAGGAATTCTTGATAGCAAAAATCAAGACTATCATATCTACACTGGGGATAGTTGAGAGACACGTTAATAGAAATGGCTGGAAAAAGCTTAGAGGAAAAAAGATGAGACAGCAAGGAAAGTGAACTGAAAATGATGTGCCTGTTTTCTCAGGTCCCCTCACAGATTTCTTCCTGAATAGCATAGATGCTTGAGGCTCAATACAAAACGACTCCTGTTACAGAATAAGCACATCCACCCATGGAGTTAACCTGGCATAGCTATTATTCCACTTTGTTTCCCATATATCTTAATCAAAAACAATTTGCACAGCAAAGAAAACTCCAAATAAGTCTGATGCAATTATGTAACTGCTCTAATGGGTCAGGAAAGGCAGGAAGGTGCTGGGACGTGTGCTKAAGTCATGGAGTGCCTGAGCTTCCCAGTGCCACTGACGTGGCCGGCCCCGCAGTGGCTTTAAGCACGAGCTCAGGGGCCCTGCAATGSGCTTCCTTCTGGGCTTAACTCTGGCTAGCCTGGAAGGCAGCCCGCAGAGACAGTCTCAAGAGCCCATTAAAACAGGCAGCCAGCAGGGAAGCATGAGGATGGGGTTTAGGATCCTAGCCTGTGGCCTCGGGCGTGTTGTTGGGCTGTAGGACCAGGAGCGTGTCCCTTTGGGCACTGGAAGGGGATGTTCCCAGGCGTACGTACCATCTGCCGTGGAATGACCCAGGAACTTGGAGCCTTCCTCAGAGCTCCTCTCCCCTCCTTCTTCATCTGCCTGCTCTTCTTCCACCTTATTCTCGCTCTCTGAGCGATACACTATTATCGACTCAGGACGRGACTCTTTCTTCTTCTTTTTCCTGCGGTCCATAGTGGCTTCTCCATCAAAGGTGACAGTCGTTGCCACAGGCCTCCTCACGGAGCCGCGGCGAGGGCTGTGGGCTCCGGGTTTGCTCTCTTTCTGCACTGTCTCCTCCATCCCGCTGCTGCTCTCAAGCATCTCACTTGGCATCTTTTGGCACGTTTCCAATCCACCTGCACTTAGAAATCATTGATATCTAATCATTCCAGGGATGCTTTGCTTCATGAAGATGCCCCACTGCTGACATCCAAACTATGCACTCCATTCCCAGCCTAAAATGAGAGAGAAGGCTGAAAAAGACAGTGTCCATTTCATACAAAATAGAAAAAAAAAAATCCCATGGCATTTACATGGCATTAAGATCTTTATTACTGTCTCATACATCAGTTTTAATACAAGGATACATGTTTTGTAATATCGCCTAACCCTGATTCTTAACTTCTCATTTTAAATGTAAGAAAGAAACGCTACTCTTAGAAGAAAGAATATTAACGTTTACAAAAAGAGATCAAACAAGCACAGATTATTGGTTGATTTTAATATTCCTCTGCAATGCTGGAAGCAAAAGGAAGACAATAAATAGCCTTGGCCAAAACACAGGAGAAGGAAAATAATGAAGCCACAGACAAAAGTTACGTTGACTAGTTAAGGGACTGGCATAGATTAAAGAGAGCTGCAACACCGAGTTCATTTGGCATTACAATATCTATATGGTGCCAGCCTTTCTAATTCTGAGTGTGTTCTGATTTACTGACCAGCACAAGGACATTACAAATAGTAATCAAAATATGCCAAATTAAATGACATTTCACATCCCTTCAAATTAGTATTATGCAGGCCTTAAAGCTGAAATTACTACCAAGATGACTTTACTGGGGAGGGAGTTTGAAATCACTGCAAAATCATTTGACTTTGCAGGAAAAAAAAGACCTTTATAAATCTGTAAAACAAATTTAAGGGCTCATTTTTTATTCTTCTTTCAAGCAAAACTACTGGTAAGTGATGCTGATATCTATGGAAATACTGGATAATAAAGGAGATCTGACTGAACATGCAAACAAGCCCTGCTCCGCCAACCTGGAACATGCAGTGGGTTCTCAGATTTTACATTCAAATATATGTCTCTGCTTCATGAAGTATTTAGGTATAAATATGAATATACTGAACATTTTAACAACTCTGGAAGAGCTCTGTTGAACATTTACATAATTAAAAGACTTCACATGATCAAGAATTAGCTTTCTGACTAATGTCTGAGTCATGTCCTTAACGGGAAGTTAAGAAATATTGTTGTTATAATTAATTGTCCAAGAAATGCTGGTGAAATTGTTTTACTTCAACAGATGATGGGGAAAAAAATGAGCATTTTTAGATTTGGCATTGTGGTCCTGCTCTTCCCCCAGAAATAAGGTTTTTCTGGTTTGTTTTGAAATCTGTGGTAGAACTTTAGATCAACTATTTTTACRCCTCTCTCCAACACTATTTATTTCATCACTTTAACACCTAAAACTGTAGCCAGCTGTCTCTGTGTGACTTTAAAGAAGAGAGAATTCAACAATTTAGATCATTTTTGGCATTACAGAAATCATTTTGGCATTACAGAAAACAAATCTTCACTGATTAGAAGATAGTTATAGTGAAATTTAAAAAACAGCACCTCCAGGAATCTAGAGTACTTCCAAAGCACTGGGCATGGGAGTATCTTGGCCAGCTCTGGTGCATGGCTGGGAACAGACTGTTCAGCTTGCCAGGTGAGTTTACACCAGTTGTGCAAAACACCCACGCCTGAATTTGCAGACATACTGGAAAATTGCTCCACAAGACACTAAACTGACTCCTCAGTCTTCTCATTGTGGTGTCAAATGTTGTACTTAGAAATACTCAGAAGCAACTTAGCTTAACCACTGTTGATCAGTATAAGTGAGAAAGAAGAGGCATAATTGYGATTAATGTCCCAGGCCGGCACATCAGTGTGGATTAATTTGTGGGTTGTTCACGATCACTGCCTTCACATTCTTCTCTCAGCCCAAATCCCAACTCCCAAAGAGAATGGTGCAAAGCAATAGAGGAATTTTGCCTTCTTTGGATCTCTGCGAGAAATATGTCTCACATTAGGGGAAAAACCAAAAAAAGCTCAAACATAAATCAGCTGAAGAGAAGCAATTCCTTATTATAACTGCCTGAGACAGAGCAGGGTGGCCTCTACAACTGGAAGCAGGGTGCAGATAGCTGGTTTTCCCCTCACCATCACATGAAAGAAGAATGGGATATGCAAGAAGCTTCACAGTGAAATATAAGACTTAGCTTTCAACTCCCCTCTTTTAGCTCCAAATCAAATCACCCATTGACTTCAAAGGCAGCAAACTGTGGCTCTTAAATACTAACACTGTCAGGACTCTCAGATCCATTTACCTCTATTTTTCATTTAATGTTTTTAAAAAAATGATTTTAGGGGGCAAAGGTCTATGAAGCAAGTTCACTCATTTTAATAAACTTGTCTGGGAGATACCAAGAGGCTCYAGCATTTTTCTTTGAGGATCAGCCGCAATACTTCATGCATTACCTCTAGAAAATCCTAATATCACCTGATTGAGCCTAATGAACCTCTGAGATAGCAGTGATAGTCTATCCTTTTTCAAAAGTGGCAAAAATAAGGCAGGCCTGAGTCACTGAGAAACCGAAAGCATCACAGCTAGGATGATCTAACTACGAGTTTGGACACATGGAAGTTCAGCTGGGATTAGATTCTGGAAGTTCCTGGCTGTGATCCCACATTTCCCTACTGCCTTGAAAATGAGACAGATAAATCTGACTAAACAGCAATTTGCCAATAATATTTAAAAATAACCCAAAGCTAGAGGTTTTTGAGGTTGAGCTTTTTTTTTTTTTTTTCCCCAAAGTTTATCCAGCTGTAACCTTGGATAAACTCACACACATATGAAAGCAAAATGGCCAGTGCTGCCTTCTTCTCCATGGTATCACGAGAGCCCAAGGGTTACSAGAGATGATGAACTAATGTCACGTCTCAGTGTGATGCAAAGGCTAAAGAACTAAGTGAACTGTGACTATGTGAGCAGGAACAAGGTTATTTCTGAATCTGGCCAGGACCCTGAGAACTTGTTCTTGTTAATGAATCTTAGCTCCTTCAGATGAAGTGCTGGAACCCAGATTATTCTCTTTGAGAGGCAAGGATGTAAAGTCTGATGTCAGTCTACATCAGAATAGAAGATCCTGTAAGACAGAAAACGGAAGGACACAAATACAGGGTAGATCCCAAGTAGGCATTTTAACAGAGATTGTAGGTGCCTCTTGACACACATCATAAAGAGCTATGGAGAATTATGCCAACACTGGAATCTTCCAAATCCTGACTAGGTATCTTTCTAAAAACTCTCTCAGAGATCCTAGGCTGGAAGAGGTGTTAATGCAGAGAGACAGCTCCACACAGCTGCTCATAGCCCCTACTCTTACCGTGTGTGTGGTGAGACCTGCACTCCTTTAAAACCTCTCTTTAAAACCCCGCTGTGACCATGAAGCCCAGCAACGGCCGAGCATCTAACATCAATGATGATCATCTCCCATATGGGAGCGCAGACGCAGACAGGAATCTAATCATTGTCCATGRGAGGGAAAGAAAGGAAATGGTCAAATTTCTGAGACAGTCGGGAGCAATTTATTAGCCAAAGAGTTTTTTATTAATCTCCGTGTGAAAACAGATGGGAAACCCTGGGGAGGCGGCTCCGCAAAAACACTCAGGAGAAGAATTTTTAGAAGCACAGTCTTCTGTTACTGAGCAGGAAAACTGCTGCTGCTTATGCTTCCCAAGGCAGCATTAGTCTCTGACACACAAAACAGGAGTCTCAAAGTTTAGTCTTGCACCATTTAGGTCAAAACAAGTTTTTCCATTGGTTTACAGGGTTTGATCATGCTGCCAACGGAAGAGAAATTAGCCATTTGCATGCAGAAAGGCAGGAAGAAACTTCCAGTAAGCTAATAAAACCCTTGATCTTAAATCCCTGCTACAGCACAAGTAACCTTTTTATGACTGTTCAGAGGAGACATGAGGGGAAAAAATGTAGACTGTAAGCAGTGAGGAACATCAATTTTTATTTTTATAGTCATATAAATTGTACACCATGTAAGAAGGACTGGCACCGCATCTTCACTCACATCATGCAGGGGTTATCTGCAGAAAGGAAAAAAAAAACCTCTGTTTTATAAGCACTATGGGTTATCCCTGGTGGGGAAGAGACAAGGAAATTTTACCCCAGAGATCCATCTCAGTGGCTCTCCAGCCACTGCTCCTTTTACCCTGGCCCCTTTGACTCACCCTCCCCTTTCCAACCCCTAGTATTTTTAAAGGAGTTGTCTGCTGGCAGCTTGTGCACATGAAGAAGGGGTCTCGGATACCTCCCGCTGTCTGGATGAGGTCTGTCCATTAGCAACAATCACATTATGACAGAATAAAATGGTCCAAAGGAGGACAGACTGTGCCAGATTCTATACAGATGTGTGGCAAGACCTACCAAGAAACAAACTTCATTCAGATGTTGTGGTGGGAGAGGGCCAAAGAGGAAGGCTTCCTAGAGAGGTAGGCCAGCTCTGAATGTATTTCAAATACCAGAATGACTGCACAATCATATATTCATCCTCGCCATACCCTGTTGGAAACAGAGAACTGTTCTCCTTCATTTCACAGTGAAATAGCTTAAACTATTTTGCATAGTTGTTTGAATTTTGCAAATATGAAAGGCTGTGATGAATGAGATGCTGTAAGGGAAGGTGAGCACCCCCTTCCCTAACAGTACTGGGGTCTGTGCAGCTTGTGGTGAACTTGCAGGGAAACACCTGCTGGAAATAATCATTTGCATTTCAACAGAAAAGAAAAAGCTACTTTCAGCCAGATAATTCCACCATCAGGTTCACCATGCTGCTACCAGTAAAGGCAGAAGAATGGCTAAAGAAGAATTTATGACAGTGATCCATAGAGAGGCCGGATTAAGTGTCTATTTAACCACAGGATGAGGCACGAGGAGAAACACCTGCCTCCTGCCTCCCAGCAAGGCAGGGAAAAGCAGCCAGCAGAGTGCATTGATCACGTCYGCCTTGCCCTCCCTGCCTGGAACAGCCCACAGGCTCCAAAACACTTATTCACTGGAAAAGAGAGAGGGAGAGAAGAAAACCAGCCATGCTCTGGCACCCCTGACGCCGGGCAGGCAGCACGAGGTGGCTGCCAGGGCCGTT